GCAAAACGAAACTTTATTGCATATGGCATTATATTCAGCAGTATTACCAGAGTTCAACACATATATTAAATTATTTGAAACAAAAAAACCAATGCTTCATTTAATACATTCCAGTATTTATAAATTGATGGCAAAATTTTTCTCTTTTTTTATGAAGCCAGAAAATATAGAGTGCACATCTTATAATGATTTATTAAAGGTTGATGTCACAAATCCAGAATTCCATCTACTTAGCAAAGTATATTTACTGGTGCAGAAGCTTCCACTCTCCTGAAGAAATTATCAAAAAATCATCCAATAGCAAAAGAATTCCAAATTTCTCTGATGAAAGCTTATACTAATACAGCACAGGATATGAAACAGAAATTACCCCTTAAAAATTCATATCTAATTAGTTTTACAGCATTAGATCAAGAGCTAAGAGGTAAAACCAGTACAATATTAGCTTTTGAAAAATTATCATCTTTTATGTCCCATATTTTTAGTGATAATGAAAAGTCAAAAGTAGAAGCTGAAATAAGGTTATACCAGAGTGATATTGATATCACCAAGGAAATGCTCCACACATCTGATGAAAGTGGAAATCAAGTCAAGCGTACAATTGATAAATATTGGTCTAAAGTTTTTAATTTAAAAGATGATTTCGCAAATGATTATAAGTACAGTAAGACCCCGCTTAACGCTGTTTCGTTTAGCGCTCTTTTATTTCAACCCGGGGATTCCTCACAATTGCTCGCAGCTCTACGGAGATTCCCCCGAAATTTTGCGCAGCGCTAGGTTTCCAAATAACATATCCGAAACAGTGTAGTTGTGTTTCTTGTTTGGTGCGGTGCTGTACGGACGCATTTTTATCATTTGAAACATATGTTGATATTATTGTAAGTATAAATTTATATAATACTATAACGATTAATACACTGACAAATATTATGATCTTTAGTTTTTATCATGGGTGATAATAAAAAACAAGAAAAGAAAGCAACCAAAAAAAGCATTTCACTGGAAACTAAAATGCAAGTGATCAGAAAATTAGATTCTGGTGAACGTCAATCTCAAATTAGCGCATTAGTGCTGCATTGAATTTGGCAACTTCAACAATAAGGACAATTCTTAAGAATAAAGAAAAAATACTGTCATCGGCAACTGCAACTACGTCAAGCTCTGCAACTAGAATTACCCGTTCTAGAAATAATACAGTAAAGGAAATGGAAAAACGACTGTCTACATAGATTGACGACGAAATTGAACACAATATACTATTAAGCCAATCTATCATAATACCTTCTTGACAAAAAGGCAGAAAATTGGAAACACAGAATAGACTGAATGATCTGACTGACTTAGAATTTTATTTGTTTTTATAAGTATATTCGTTTATATTGTTTTTATTTTTGTAAGAAATAAATGTTTGGTTTTATTTTTATTAAAAAAAATTATTAAATTTAATACCTAACCAATTTTCTATCCATCTTCCCCTAACCCCAATATTTACATGTTAAGAAGCCTCGTTTAGCGCTGTTTCGCATTACGCTCTAATTTGATGGAACGTATTCCCCGCGTTAAGCGGGGTCTTACTGTATCCTACATTGGCTAAATTGGTCAAAGCCTGCCTTAGCTGCTTCCATGGCCCATTAGTGGAAAGTGCATTCAACTTTATGGATGCACTTGTCACTGACTATAGAACCTCTCTTAAGATTGATTCCCTAGATGCAGTGCAGACTATTAAATATGATTTAATGGCTTCTAAAGAAACCTCATGTGAAAAATATGGCTCAAAAAATCCAATGACTGATCCAATTCACAAAGATCTCTTACTGAATATGAACAGAAGTTGGGAAAACATATCAAGAGGACTTAAAAACATGTATTTCAGATGAGTCACCTATAAAAGTGTCTGAAAAACCTTCTACTTAGCAGAAAAAGCAAACTGCTTCTACCTCTGCATGTGCAGTTCTCGAGGAAATTTCTTCAACTGTAAATGAGGAAAATAAAAAGTCAACCTTCCTGCAATTATGAAGTTCACCACAAAAGAAAGACAAGCCCACAAACATCAGAAAATAAAAAAAAGCAGCAGAAATAATTCTTTTTTAAAGAATTAATTCAGGTAATTTAAAATATTTACATAAAATGTAGTAGTTTATATGTTTGAAAATTTATGGTTATTAATTTTGCAAAAAAAGTAATTCATTGAACTTTTATAATTAGGTCATTCATTACTTCATAATTGTAATTTTTCATTTCTCTCCCCCCCCTTCTCGAAACTCCAAAATGTCGGTAGTAAGTCCGTAAAAGTTTCAGGGGATTTTTTGGGGTCCCACAAACACCCCTGTAAATAACACTGGTAAATAATAATATAACTGTAGTTTACCTTAATGAAAGCTTCTGACACTGAATCTCCTTTTAACTGCTTCTTGGTGCAGATGATCGATGTCGAAAGGCAGTAAGTCTGCCAATTCCGTCACTCTTAACCACTTTTGTTTATGTATGATTTCTTTCTTAATTTCAACGGCCATAGCTTCCTTATATTTCTTTGTGGCACTATCGGAGGCATCATGAAATAATTATTTTCACATTAAATGTAATAAACAATTGACTCACGAGTGTACAAACACATAGATCAAAGAACACTTAGTGATCTGACAAGGGTATTCCCCGAGTCGAGCCGGATCGGGAAATGGCGCCACACATACCAACAACCTGGCTCATTGCTCGTTACTCAAGTCGGTGCTCGTATTTAGAGACAAATTTTTCACTTACACTTTCCTCATATCTCAAATTTCTTGTATATAGATAGTAACTTGTAAATAACTCCTGAAGTATGTATCCTCACTTCCGTTATGGAGAAGCTCATCATATGTTACATAGGCAGTGATGCCAAATGTAAGAAAATAAACTTGTTAGATTTATGTGTCATTTCCTGATTTGGCACGTTCTCCTATAGGCAGTGCTGCCAGATGCAAAACACAGATATATGTTAAAACTATAAAACATGACTAAAATTTATACCTCGTCTTATGTGCAGAAATATACAGTAGGTCTAAACTGAACTGTGGTTCTATCATCTGTGCCACAAGATAGCCTTCTGTGTTGCAAAGGCGGCTTGACCCCATGCACCACCAAGCTTTATGATCTGCTCAGATACTTTCAGGATTTCCTCAGTGCAGCGCTTGTGTGCAGAATATGTTGAAGGATCATTAAAATTAAGGCATGACCAATTATCTGTTAACTATTTTTTTAAGTCCATATCTCACCTATGTCATCCTGCTCATGTCCCTCTACAATCAAGCAAGTATGAACATATAATGTAAATTCAATATCTCATCATTTGGCATCTAGCACTCCAATATCTCCGCACCTCAGAGACTCCACGCAGCACCAGAAACCTCCTAATGCAGGTCCTGTCCATTTATGCATTTAAGTCGCAAAATGGACAGTTTGGGCTGGTAAGAATGTCAACATAATAGAGATGATTCACCAAGCAATTAAGACCAATTTCACAAAATGCAAAAATAGAACTCCTGAGTATTTTTCCACCTTCCAACAAAAGTGATACCAGTAAAATTATATACATACAAATTGTTTACCAGCATAGAAATATTTACAATGGTTATATTCCTTTGATGAAATAAAGTGTGTGGCAGTATCCATCAACTGCTGCTATTTATTTCAATACAGTGGAAAAGAAAATTTGTCCTTTATTTTGATTTGCTGAGTGCACTCAAATCATAAAAAAAAAAAAAAAAAAAAAAAAAAAAAATCACTCAGAAAATCCTCTACTGCCATAGATCATTATTCTCCATGTAAATCTCAAGACTTAGGTGTGCTATATTCAATATTGTTCGATTCCTGGCTACATTAGTATAAGAGAAATGAGCTTTTTGACATTCCTGCAAAATCTGCTGATGCCATCTATGTACCTGATACCTCTTATACCAACATCATAAAATATGTGAAGCAGCAAATTTTTCAAAAATGGTAGCATTATTGTCAATCACAAATAAATAACAATATACAGCATGTGAAGCCTGAAATCAAGTATTGATTCACAAGCAACAAAAAAAAAAAAAAAAAAAAAAAAAAAAAAAGTTCTGGCAGACTTGCAGTTTGGTCGCTTCCAGATTACCCAAAGTGGAGAGTGGTCAAATCTGTGCAAACTGTAAGGCTATACTATCCAAGATTTATATTTTAATTTATTGTCCAAATCTTAAATCTCTTAGGCTGAAACATTTTAGTTTGTTCAACCTATCTCTGTTTCACTTAACTGGGATCAATCCTCATTTAATCTGTTCCACTTAAAAAAAAATATTATGAACAGTAAAACTTCAAATTATACATTTGTATTTTTAACATAAAGTATTTATTATTAACATTGTACAAATTTTAAACTACTATAAATTATTTTCAGTTATTATATTAAGATATTAGAGTTTTTTCTCTGCATTATTCTCATCAACTTGATGGCAGTTTTTAGAATCTTCAATTCTAACTAGTTCTTTTTATTGCCATGGCATATGCCTCTACCATGTACTCTAACCATGTGCTTGGCACATCATGACCAAGCAGTTTTTGCATCGTAAAACACCACAATCACCTTGTATAGAATTTAATTTTTTGATGAAATTATTCATAAATATATATAATCTTAATTTAATTATTAGCTCGCTCACTTAAAAGATTGATGAATTTTAAGAAGAAAAGATGACCTATAAACTTCTGTATTTAAAAAAAACCTGTGAAAAAAAACTTGTTAAATCAATTTGATACTGCCTTTCAAATGCATAATTTATCATTACTTTAGATAATATCAAGAAACACAAAAAATTAATTTTTGTTTCTTAAAATTATTTGGGCGATGTTTTAATAATTATTTTCCAGAGCTCTTGTTTTCCAGAATTTAAAGCAAAAAGACCTATTTTGCCTATTTATTATTTCTTTAGATGATTATTGAAATGTTTGAGTACAGCTTTTATCATTTTCTCAATAATGAATTTTTTTTTCAGGGTGATCAAGTATATAAGTCAGTGTTCATTATTTTCTTTCAAGGTGATCAACTGAAAACTAGAGTGAAAAAAATATGTGAAGGGTATGTACTTGGTATTAGTAACTAATTTTATTACATTTAGATTTAAGTAAAGAAAATGGTTCTAGAATTTAAATAATGCCTCCATCCCTAAGAGCAGGAACTGCAAAAGAAAAGAAAGAAAGAATCTCATTTATCAATGTGGACATTTTTTTTATCAAATTTAACTTCTATAAAACAATTACGCTTAAGGGCATAGTGGTGTACTACTGCCAGCTGTTAAATGCTTGTTAAGATAGTTAAGATAAATATAAGGAGAGCTAGTGATTCTATGAAAGTCATTGGCGTTACATATGTTATTTATAGAACGTCAAGTAGCTCAGCAGGCTGTGTTGAGCTAGTTGCAACAGTACCTTTTTAAGTATTGTTTCATATTTTCGAACTTGAGGGTAATAAATTTTTTTTTTATGATTTTCTCTGTGAGTTGCATAATCATAAAAGCTTGAAGTGTGCATCTTTTAGCACTGCAGAATAATGGAAGACTAAATCTTAGTTCTGTAGATCGTAATTTGATATATCCAAAGTGAGTAAATTATTAATGAAAAATCAAATAAAAATTGCCAGATGCAGAGCATTTTTTGAAATTCTCTTCATAGAATTTCTAAATAATTGTAAAGAAGCAAAAGTATTACCAACAGTACTTTATAATAATTTTGTAACTTTCATTCTTAAGCTTGTAGTGTGAAAGAGAAACATGACTATTTTATGTATCTAATGGAACTTGGAGTATAAATCCAGCTGCATATGATGTCAGCACAATCAAAATAAAACATAATGTTTTGTAATATTTAGAATTGCAAGATTAATGGTGCTTGTGGGTTTTATTGAGATCAGTGATTAATTCACCAATTTTAGCATCATTTACTGCCAAGCAATATAGCAAACTCAATGAGAACTTTTTTTTTTTTTTGGTAAGAATTTGTGTTTTTCAAGTTTCAGATGATTCATATTTTTAGAAATAAAATATTTTTTAAATTCCATTATTAAAAGATTCTTTTTGAAGGGGAAGGGCATATGGTATCTAAATGAGCAACTTTCTTGCAACTCTTGGTTGCCAGTAAAACCAACAAATACTGAATTGATTACTTTTAAGAATAAGGATATAAATCACCATGTAAATATTGCTTAATTAAGCTTTATTAATTCTAAAACTCGTTCATTTATAATAAAAACTGAAAATTCTGGAAATTTTAAATAATGTGTTTAAGTAATTGAAAAATGTAAAGCATGGATGAAGCAATTAAACATTTAGTAACCTTGCTGCACTTTGTTACAGATTTCGTGCTACTCTCTATCCATGTCCTGAAACACCAGCAGACAGAAGAGAAATGTCTATTGGGGTTATGACTCGAATAGAAGATTTAAACACTGTAAGTATGGGTTAATTTTGCTACTTACATATTATAAGTATTGATAAGAGAATAGGGAAATGGGATAGTTTATGATGCATTAAACTGAATCAGAGAAGAAACAAAAAGTTTTAATTAAATAATAATTAAATATTTTTTCGATATACAAAATGCCCTGCCGCAGTAAGATAGCTTCCCCTCAGCAGGCTATATGCGTGTTATGAAATGCCCAGTCATAGTAAGAAAGCTTCTCCACAAAGCAGGTTTAGGGTTGCCATGTTTGACACAAAATCGGTCATTTGGCGATAAAATGGGCGATATCCTATTGGCAGGTGGAGAACATTTTGGGAAAGAATTCTTACCGGTTTGGCCCCGAATGTTAATGAACGCATGCCAAAAAAGCTATATAAACACTGCCTGTACACTGAGTAGCAATCTAATGTCTAGTGTATTGCAAGAGTTTATTGTCAGAACATCATCGAGTGTTATCTTGAATGTGTTGAGCTCCAAGAGTGATTGACTGAATCGGGTGTTGTATTTAGTGTTTTGCCCTCTAGCTGACTTCACTGTTATAGCTTGAATGGTATGTTGCTGATTTTTTTCAGCGTGCTTGTTGTAGTTTTTTTACAAATGTAAACAAGTTTTTGGAATTGTCCTGAGTAATACTGGCAAATAAATTGTGTTTTGATACTTCATCAAGTTTCATCAATAACTCCAAATCCATGAACCTGTAGAATGCAACAACTGGTGTCAGGAGTAGGGTTTGAGAGTGAATGCCAGTGGCCTGCCTACAGGAAAAAGCCATGGCGGAGGAAATGAAGTTTGCGGATTTCTTAGCAGCTGCAAAAGCTGAACTGGAAGAGATGGAAGCTGGACAAAGAAGAGTTGCAAGCCGCATATGAGGAGTTGAAAGCTGGATATGAAAATATGAAGGTTAGACAAGAAAAGTTTGTGAGAGAAATAAATGTCTGCCAAGAAAAGCTGCTAGAGTAATTCCAATCATTGAAACCCTTTGCGGCATGGTATGCCTGGTCTGGGCACACTTAAAAGTTTCCTTTTGTATGCACAGGAAAATTGAATGAAAAAGGATTTATAGGTTACTCTGAACCTTCTTTATTTATACTAGATGGCAGCAGAACACACACCAGTCCATATGAAAAAAAATTTCTATGTTATTTTCTTGGCTGTATACTAATATCCTTATTTTATATTAGTTTTAAATTTTTACCTTGAAATCTTGCCAAAAATCGAACACAAACATCAGGTGTGCCCAGAGTGGGCTGACTGGGAGACTAGGAATAGACCAACAACTGTATCTTTGTTTCTCTGCAGCTCTCCGGTCAGTTCATTGGCAATAGAAAGGTGGGTCCACATCTGTGTTTCATTTCCTGTTTTTTTTTTCCGGGGGGGGGGGGGAGTTTTTGGTTATTAACTAAGAAATTGTTGAGGTGATTTTCTGAAGGTCAGGAGTAATTTTATCATTTAGCTGTTCCCCCCCCCCTTCGCCTTCGTTCAGAGAAGTTTTGTTAGTGCTGCATTTGATAGTTTTGAGTTGTAAATGTGTATTTAATTTTATTTTATAGTTTATAATTTCTAATTGTAGGTATAATATTAATTTTTTTTTAAATTATTTTCTAAATGAATCAGAGAGGGCTGACCATTTCTGAATAATCACTGAAAGTGCTACACGTCCGCTATGCTTTCAGATAGTAAATCTGATATGGGTCCATGTACATGTGCAAAACATGCAATACTGGGTTGTGCGTTTTCAAAGATGGTGTTACTTTCTACAAAAAGTACCACCATGAAAAAAATAGACAAATATGAAATGTAAATATCATATACCCAAGTTACTTTTTTTTTTCATGTAATAAGCATGTAATTATCATATAACCAAAAAAACAGCTTTTTAAGGAGGTGTAGAGTAGCAGGTCTCTCCGTGGAACACCCTGGGTAATGCTAAATTTGCTATGGTATTCAGAATCTAGTGTTTTTTAATCGTAGACAAAATCACTTACTCTTTTACACACTTCCCAGCAAAGCTGGTTTCAGCACTCTTTTCGAAGCTCTATTCATTCAGTTTGCCCAAAGTGGGCACACCCACAGAATTAAAATGATAAGTGCTATCTTCACAAAATTTTACCTGTATACCCCTCTAGGCCTGATTAGACTGCCTACCTTTTTTTTTTTTTTTTTTTTTGTTTAAATTCCAAATATGAAAGATAGCATGGTGGAAAGGGTTAAAGAAGAAGTTGGATTAAAAAAGATGTCAAAGTGACAGCCTCTATCAACTGTCATGCATAGTGTATGTGTTTATTCCTTTAAAAATTTGTTAATTTTACTTTGTTTTTGAAAACGTTTAAATATTTATCTAATTTCACAGCATATTTTTCAAAGTGCTATTTAATCACTGTGTTCAAATCCCTTTGATTGATGAAGTCCAATAGACTTTCAGCAGAAGTTATTGCTGTCTTGGTGCTAATGCAATTGTTAGTATATTCTTCTCTTGTATTTTCAATACCACTCTCTGTCTCTTCTGTTCTTGGGACATTGAAATGATATCTGCATTACTGAAGCATTGAAAGCCTGGTTCAGTAAAACTGCCATAGAACCATTCCTCGATGTTTTCTCGGTCAACATTTTCAATGAATTTTATGTTTTCAGTTTTTTAGTACATAAGTTCAGCTATTGCCTCAATTTCTTCACAATTTGATAAATCTCCGATTTCTGTAATGGGAAGAATCGTACTGGTTTTACTTTTGACCAAGCTTTTGCTGTGGCATGCAGTACAGTCAACTGTTTCCAAAACTTCAAGTCATCATCTAACCCAGCAAGACTTGTGAGAAGACTAGGAAAGTTCGTTTTACTGAGGATATTATACCGTAGTCCATCAGTTGATTTAAACTTATAGTATTCGGTGATAAAAATTTGGCCATCATTATACTGTCCATTGTTTTTTATACACTTTTCATGCATAGCATTGATTGTGTGTGCATGGGGGCACTACCATTCACAGATGATCCACTCTGATATAATCAAGAGTACACTGTACTTTGGTTTGGGGTCAGTCTTTTGTAGGCAAATTGTAATTCTATTCTAATAAACGTATCTTCCAAGCCTTATCAAGTTAATATGAGTATTAAAATGGGAAAAGAATTTAGCTTTAACTTGGTTCTGATATTTAAAAAGCCATATTCATCTACAAAAATAATTTGACACAGGCTGACAAATATATGCATCTTTTTTCAAATTAGGTTAAACTGTTCGTAATTTTAAAGTTTAGTCTACTAATTAATGTTTGATTCCTTTTTACTCAGAATGAAATTGAGACTAGATGATGAGAAATAAGGAATATGTTTACGTTATTTCTAAGCTAATTAAATAACTTTGTTTCTCTCTAAAAAAATTCTTTTTTTTTTTTTTTTCCTTTGCTCTGGCTGAGGAAATATTTTAGATGTCTCATGTAAATATTTAGATAATGCACATTATTCTCTATAATGTGCATTATTTAAATATTATTTTCCATATTTGTTTATTTTCAGGTTCTTGGTCAGACTCAAGATCACCGATACAGGGTTCTTGTGGCTGCTGCAAAAAACATCAAAAGCTGGTTTGTCAAAGTTCGAAAAATTAAGGCTATATACCACACACTCAATTTATTCAATTTAGATGTCACCCAGAAATGCCTCATTGCTGAATGTTGGTGTGCTTGTTCAGATCTGGATAAGATACAGATGGCATTATGCAGAGGAACGGTATGTTTGTCCACATTTATACTTGAAATTTAGAGGAACATTTAAATGCTAATTTTTTCTCAACCTTTTGGCTCCTGCTGCAGGGAGATCGATTCATGCTCAGAGCACTTAATATCACTGTGTGCTCAAGTGATTTTTGTAACTAAGCCAAACATGTGAAAAAACAAAATCCTATAAAATCTGCTTTTTATCAAAATAATTGTATTCTTAGTATATTATGTAAATTTTAATTTTTTATATATGAGCAAAAATCTAGATTTACACAAATAGAATAAAAATAAAAAATAAAATGCAAAATGGTATTTTTGTATCGACCCTTCAAGTTGGCTACCATCAAACCATGAAAGTTGTCGGAGATCCCTTTAAATTTGTACCAATTGTTCCTGTGAAATTCTGAACAAAGTCATGCTTCTTGGTATAATAAACAGTCAGTATTTAACTGTTGTTAGTATTTTATCATTTTCTATTATTTTGTTGCTGATTTTACCGGAAGCTCTGTTTAGAACACTCTATCTTATTGGTAATTTTTATGAACATTTGAAGTATAAATGTAAGTCGTAAAAGAAGTTTTTTGAGTCATATATAATGCATTTGGAGCAAAATTATTTAATTTTTCTTAATTCAATTTTTTTTTTTTTTCCCCAGGTGAATTTAAGATCAGTTCATTTAGAAAATTAACTGCTTTGCAATCTAATAGGAAATAATTAACTTCTTGTTTGCACATAAGAATTTAAATTAAAGAAAGATGATTTTATCAGTTTTGGAAACAATAAAAGGTCATTAGCAGAAAAACATCTCTCAAACACTTGAGCATAGATGTTTGTTCAGAAATTTCAATCACTCCAAACTAAATTCAGGATTCAAAATGCTGTCAAGTATTAGCATTTAATTTTTTTTTTTTTTTTTTTTTTTGAAGGGGGTGGGCTTGCACTTTAAAAAAAATTTAAATATGCAAGACTTTTGTGAGTATTATAATTAATGTGGACTTTAAAATTATCAATAATAATTTATTTTTCAAAAACTTTATTTTCATAGTTTTTCTCTGAATAATTTCATGTTCATGTTAGTTTTTAAGCAAAAACATTTTTATTGTGTCATTCACTTCTAGCATGTTTGTTTTCTAATTTCATGCATCATATATTCTAAGCGGCACAGATTTATATTGTTTTTAGAATTTTGTGCAAATATTGATATTTTTTATTTTTATAGGAATTAAGTGGTGGCAGTGTTCCATCTATTCTGCATCGAATGCAAACAACAGAAATACCTCCAACGTTTAATCGTACAAATAAATTTACTCAAGGCTTCCAAAATATTGTTGATGCCTACGGTGTAGCCAATTATCGAGAAGTAAATCCCGGTAAGGTTGTGCTTTTTGTTCTTTTTATAATTATGAGAAATTACTTAGAATAAGGAGAAAATTATGCTATTCTGTATGGATACTTAAGAAAGAATATGTCTTTGGTATAATTACAAAGACTTTTCTTATTAACTATTTCAGGACTGGAGATACAAATTTGCCTGTAAAACAGACACGTAAAGTTATCTGCTAATAAATTGCCATTATAATTGTGTATCGTCTCTGAGTGGGAGAAAACTTCCCTTTTCCAAATGTGTAATTTAAAAGACTTAGTTGCAGATTAGTTCCTTTAATTTTTGTATTTCAGTAGTTTATATTATTAATAATTGCACAGAATTATTCTTGACCCCATTCTGCTAGTCATATTTTTTCAATTATTGCTATGTTTTGGATAAATATTCATGCACACTTTTAATATACATATGAATAATGTAAATGCAAATAAATGGTTTCTAATTTTTGAGTCAACATGAATAAATGATTTCTGATTAAATTAAAAATACTTTTATTTATATATTTTTGTTTTTGTAGCTCTGAAATTGCATGTAACCTATCAATTATTTAATAATACATTTACTGAATAACATATACTAAGTGACAGTAATATTAGCAATTATGGTGCATTATTATCTGCTAAATAAGCAATTTTTTATTCAATTAATATGCAGTGCATTTAATTTAAAATAATTTTCATGAAAAACTTCTCTTTGTTATTAAGGAACAGCGCAATCTGCAACATTAACTGAAATGCCTTAGAATCAGTAAAGATAATTTTAACCTATATATATAACGCATATAAATTTTTTTCACATTTACCAAAGTATATACCTTAATGTCTAAACAATGTCCTATGGTCATTATCATTTGCTTTGACCAAATGACAAGGTGGTGATGTCGCTAAAATTCTGCCTAATAATCACACATTTCCAAATGTTCCTTATGTTATTTCTGCAAGACTAACTGAATGTTATCAGAGAGAAATGGATCCTTGACATTGTGCAGTTAGGAATGGGTTGACCATGCATTTTAAGTGATCACCACTGTGTGCTGGTTCACATCCATTGTGTTTGCCGAGTAAAAATGATGTGGCAATTATGAAATTAACCCTACATTCCACATATTTATGCATTCATATGTAATTATATTTGATTTATGAATCAGATGTAATGATTATATTTAATTGGTCAAATCTTACACTGTTCAACAAGTTTTCGAAACCCTGAAGGAAATAGTTTTTGTGCAATATAATTTTCTTCACATATTGTAAACATCTGGAGTTGAAATAGTATTTTCAAGCTGCACATTCTGTTTCTCTCTAGTAACATCTAGTACGATGAAAGCTGCACTTAAAAATGATTCCATGTACTGATGGGAGAAATTTTTAATACAGTACTAAGTACGTCATCCAGACATCCATTATCCAGAATGATCTATAATCTGGACCTCAAAGCCACCAAAAAAAAATTTTTTTTTTGTATGCTTTACGCGTGCACGTTTAATGTATAACAGACGGTATAAGCTAAGTTAAAATTATCTTTAACTGATTCTAAGGCATTTCAGTTAATGTTGCAGATTGCGCTGTTCCTTAATAATATAATAAAGGCATAATTTATGGCCAGCTACCATATTTCACGGTGAGGACGATGAAGATGATAGCCATGAATTTGCAGGTTTTCGGACATTGCAAACTAAAGGTGAAATTTTCCAGTTATTGGATTTTGTAAGGAAATGCGGAGAAGCAGTAATAAATAAAGATGATATAACAGAAGTTTTTCATTGCGACAACAATGCTCCAATCATCAATCAGCTGTAAGACTCAACTAGACTTGCTGCTAGCAAGATCCTTACATGAAGATAATAACATAATTTCCAAATGAATACAATTTTCAATTGCCCTCTTATTGCAAACATTGCATTAAAATATCTAACGAAACCAAACCAGGAAGCACATTCACAGTATCATTTATAGATAGTGCCACAAGATTGGCTAGATCTTAAACCTACCAGCAGCAGAAGCACTGAGCAACCACTATTGCAAAAGTCTAGTTGATAAACATAAGGATACATATTTTTTTAAACTGTGTATTTTAAAATATTGCATTTTAAGTATTCATGTATTATTTTTGGCTTGCTTTTTATTTTATATTAACATTCTATGCAATTGTACCCTTTTATTTTTTAAATGCATACTTAATATGTATCTAACATATGTTTCTCATTTTTAGCTCTTTTCACTATCATAACATTTCCTTTCCTGTTTGCTGTGATGTTTGGAGATGCTGGCCATGGTTTGATTATGGCTCTTTTTGCAGCCTGGATGGTATTAAAAGAGAAGGGCCTCGCTTCTGAAAACACAGATAATGAGGTTATTTTTTTATTTTTCTAGTTGTCCCCCCAATTAATCTGGTATTGTTACGTAGGTTTTTTTTAATTGTAACTGCTCAAGAGAGGTAAATTCTTCATGTATTTTTAAAGTTCTCTTTCAGCATATTTGCTTTATGGTGTGCACAGATATAATTTACAACCCACCCACCAGTGGCTCATAAGCCATATCATTATCAGGTAGGGTAGTACTTCAATTAATTGCAGTTATATATATATATATATATATATCAGGGTTGCCACGCTACCTGGAAAACCCGGAGAACCGGGAAAAGTCAGGGAATTCGAAAATTGACCAAAATATTCAGGGAAAAGTCAGGGAATTTAAGTATTTTTGTCAAAATCTGGAAAAGTCAGGGAAGTTCATACAACGATCCCGCCAAAAAAGCGATTTTTGCGCCGACGTCGGAAGAGGTAACTTTTTGGCGAATTATGTATCACGTGAGTGTCATTCGGGTAGCTGGCATAGAGCCAATTTTCGCAGCTCCAATTTGATTGTCTTTTAGAAAGGCAAAGCAACTTTCCCGCAACTTTTGGTTTCCAATATTCTCGAGAATCGCATGTGCAATGCATGAACTAAAGAAGGTACCTGTTCTCGTATAAAACAAAATGGGTTTAATCCTAGTATACGGTACCATGGAGGTTAGAATCAAAGAATATGTATTGTAAAGAAGGAAAACCTCTCTGCAACAGACGTGGCTGTGGCTCCGTTCCATCATAGAGGGAAAACAGCTGTGCATGTCTGATATATCTGTTGCCAAAGCTCGAAACCGGTGTCGAAGTTCGAAGGTCACGTTATCAAGAGTTCATAAAATGAATATCGTTTAAAATTTCTTTAACCACTTGCGCTTAAAAAGACGTGCCACGCACGTCAAGATGCTTTTGTCTCAAACCGCGAGCGACGTGAACACCATGTCGATAAGCATTTATCACAAAAATGAAAATAACGTGGTGCACACGACACCTAACAACGAGATTGTTTGTTTCTCGAGTTACAGCTCTGGATTGCACTCGCAGATGCGGAGCGGCGTAAATGAGACACTTTACGGCTTGTTATATTGTAGTGCACGGCACCGCAACCGTGAAGTTTAGTCTTAGCGCAAGTGGTTAAACTCTAAAGGAAAAGAAAATATTTTTTGGCGCAAGTAAATTAATTCATGGATTAGTTATTTTCAGGGGGAAAAAAAACTACGAAAATCCGTTTTTAAAATTATTGCGAAAAATCCAAGAAGAAACGTCCTTTGATAAAACATTTCTTCTTGGATTTTTTCGCAATAATTTAAAAACGGATTTTCGTAGTTTTCTTTTTGTCAAAAAGCGTTTCTTCTTAACACGTGTTTCTCAATTTCCTGTACACATCGCGGAGAGGGAAATTCTGGCCGCCAGGTTCCGTCGCCAAATCCCTTGGCAAATTTTCCCTCCGCATTCTAGCGGCGTAATAGCATTTTACTTGTATGGAACCTTTTCTTCTTTACATAGACGTTCTTTGGTTAGATAATAATGGGATTTGGCGACATCTTGATGCGCAGTAAACGGGTCATTTTGGTCTTGGCGACAATTTTCAAAATCGTGCCACAAAGCCTTACCGTATACTAGAATTTTACCGCAAAATCTTTTTAAACCTTTTTTTTTTTTTTTTTTTTTTTTTTTTAAAATACCTTGCCACTTTGCAGTAAAATAAAAAAATAGTAATCAGTCATCTAGGCTAGCCATGTAATATAACTATATTCCCTAAAATATCGTTGATTATTCTAATTCAATTTTTAAGTAATTATTTTTATGTTATTCATATAATTTAATGTTGCTTCTTCCCTCTAAATTTATTTATCATTAGTAAATAATATTTCCAAATTTCAGGAAATTTTCTCTGGCAATCCTGAAATTAATTATAGCAGTATGATGACATACCATCACGAAATTTAATGCACATATTTTTTCCTTATGTATGCTGCAAAATAAATATAAAATACCTCAATTTATTAAAATAGATTTCTTTCTTTCGTTTAGCTGCAGAATGTCTGCAAAAAAAGCCTTATTTTATTCCAGATTGGGAAGATTCTAATCTCAATCTTCAGTGGAGAAAACAACAACTATTATAATTATATTTGTGTTTTCAAGTGTTAAGGTGCCTTTTAAGAACATACCTCACGCACGCAAATTAAATTTACCTAAAATCTAACTTAACTATTTAGCATTGCATTGTGATTTATAAGGACCGGATTAGCCTCGTGTTAAACTGGGTGATGATCATGAGTAATAATTAAATAAAACATACATTTGTTATCCAATATATATATCTTAAATTTTATTAAGTTTCTTAAGTGGAAAACTAAACAAAATTATCAAACAAAGTATACCAAGAATAATTAAGAATAAATGTCCTCTGGGATTTACTGAATAATTAAGTGAATTTGCTACACAATACAAGTAATACCATAATTAATTTACCTCTTAGCACAGCCAAAGTACATTACGTGGATAGACTGGAATTTTCTTGAAACACACCTGGAAAACCTGGAAAAGTCAGGGAATTTCATTCTCCTGTTTGAGTGGCAACCCTGATATATATATATATATACATAATCTCGTTTTTAAGAATGTAAGAAAACTAGACTAATAGAATGTTGGCCAGAAAGGTAAAATCCTAAAGAAAATATCCTATAATCTATTTTTGGAAAATTTGAGGAAGATAAAATGAATTCAAAAGTAAAGTTATGGGTAGAGCGGCTTTTTAAAGAATAAGTGGTAAAAACTCGTATTTTTAAACTCATATCGTTTCAGGCTGATCATAGCAAAGAGGTTTATTGGCAGCAAAAACTCTTTCTTGAATTTCAACAACTTACCTTCAACAGTGTCTATTCTGCCTTCCATAGCCTCGAATATGTTTTTTAATATGGCAATAATTTCTTTTCATTTTCTATTAACCTGCTTCACTGTTTTCTGAGAAAGCCTTCATCTTTCCTTTGAATGCAGCAAAGGCTGTCACTGGTTCTTTCAATTGCTCTTCCATCGCTCTTCTCACCAGCATTAAGTCCTATTTCTGACACCAAAACTTTTTGCGTGCATACGGATTCGTAATGGATTGAATACACACAAGACTGATGATAGCTTGATAAAATTTATTCCCCCCTAAAAGAACACTTTAGCTCTTGAAGTTTCCATGAAAGTACTGTTTCAGCTCTTCTCGATTTGACAGAGCATGATTAGTGGTTACCACTTTAAACTACTAAGAACGTTGAACATAACCTACTGTGAAGTATATCTAATGAGCAAAACTTAAACAGAGATCTCTCAATACTCCAAAACTAATTCTGAACTAAAAACTGAGAACTAATGCTCTCTCTGATCTTGTATAGTTTTGCCCCAACCAAGAAATTTTCAATACCATCAATTTTTTAAAATTACTGGAAGGCATATGCAGTTACAGTTATGTATATGGCCAGATACAGTTACATTGGCATTTAGGCCTATTACAGTTATATTAGGACAGGACTAAAATGATGTCAAGTTTGGTTACTTTTGGGATTATTTGCCAAATTTGGCAACAAAAATTAGTTGCCAAAACTATCACCAATGATATCTTGCCAATTTAACATTAAATTCTTTAAGATAATATGGAATTACTCTTATAACTCTCAAAGCAATTCTAATATGTTTTCACCTGCTATAATTTTATATTATAACATTTTATCTTTTGAAATGGTATTCAGTAGTGAAGCGCAGTTTATCTTTTTAAAATAAGCTTTAATTAAAATTAATTTGTTCATGTTTCTTTTATTATAAATTCATTGTTCAAAGAAATACAGCTTTGTAATTCTGAAACCTGTTATATGTACATTATTTGTAAGAAAAAAGCAGAAAATGTGCAAAATTTATCAGGAAAATCAATTAACATGCATTGTGAACGCTTTCATCTCAGCCATTTAAAGTGAACCTTTATTAATACATTTAAGTGAATCTGTATTTTATAATTTGTTCTAAAATAAATTTCATTTAGTTTAATAAATAAATATTGATTGTATGTATGTATCAAAACTTATTTTTTGATGGAAAATGCAAGAAATGTCACTAGTTATAAACATTTTGAATATGAATATTTAAATTTTTTACAGGTTAAAATTTTAGGAATATTTATAAAATATTTCCCTTTTTAGATGATTATTAAAGTTGGCAATATATAATCTTTTGAATAACATACACCAAACAGTTTTCTGGAAAAAATGATATATGTGCCAATGTTGCCTATTTGGCTGTCATTAAAAGTAAATATTGGAAAAAAAAATCACATGTAGTATTTTACTTCATTTTTTTATTGAAATAACTACCTGAGAAACATACTTCTTATGTGTAAAACATGTTTAGCATTATGGAAATCAGCTGAAGAAGAAAGTGTATTTTCTTACTACCCGAGTTAACTTAGCATATATACTTTTTAAAGGAAATTGTTTGCCACATGCTGATCTGTATTAGAAATGATCCAAAATCAGAGTTCTTTGTTTTGTTATTAAAATTTTTGATCTGTAAGATTATTTGTGGCAAATATGGCTGATTTTTTGGAGGATTAGGTCATATTGTGATACATACTAATAATGAATTAAAAGCTTTGAACCAAAATCTTGACATGCATGCATTAAATGCATCTTCTGTTTTTGGTTAGAATTTTAGTTATAATAATTAAAAATTAATGAATGTTTTAATAGCAAGATCATTTCTTTTAGATCTGGCTGACATTTTTCCATGGTCGTTATATAATTCTGCTGATGGGCATGTTCTCTGTTTATACTGGACTAATGTACAATGATATTTTTTCAAAATCTGTCAATTTGTTTGGGTCTTCGTGGTATCCCCACGCTGATTTGTAAGTTTGCATTTTGTGTTGTTAAATAGTTTTATCGTAGTTTATATGTATATTTGTCTGCATGAGTGCATATTACCTGCAGGTACAGTAAATAATACAGAGCATTGCTTGTTATATGTGTGTTTTGAATAGTAAAAAATATCAAGTTTGTTAGACTGGAATAAGAAATTATTTATAAAAATGAAATTTAATAAATGTAAAATATGCAAGTTTTTTGAGAGGGGTTAATGCCATCACGGTAGCTCCTGCCGCCCCACCCCCCAGTTTGGTACAACCTTAGATTTTGCTCACCAGTCTGAAAACAAGTACTTGAAGCAATGTATTAAAAAGCAGGGCAAGAAAAAAAATATTTTAGGAAAATTAGAAAAAATAAATAAAAGTATGGATTTATTTAAGTTTGGTATTAAGTATTTGGCAGATGAAAAACAAATGCATGAAAATTTATTCTGAATGAAAAGTTTGTTTCACTAGGCAATATTTTTAAAGAAGGATTTAAAATTTAGTTAATTATAATTTTTTTTTTTTTTTTAGCAAGCAAGATTCAGTATCTTCACTATTAATTTAACTTTTGCAATTTTTTCAGACAACAGCTAAGCTTAGGGCTTTTTTTTCCTTCCAAATTATTCTTTTAAATTCAAGATTTATACAGTTACACTTCAACTATAATGAGCACAATTGAATTATATAATCTTTCAGTCAAGGTAAAATATATATATATAGTAAACTTAAAATAAATTATGCTGATGGCTTTCGTATTTGGAAATGTTTGTTGTACTTGGCAAAAATGAATTGGGTGGTGATAGTAACAGAAAAGATTATTATTATTGATTCTTCCATGCGGAAGTGTTTTTAAAAGTTGTTCAATGATCAAAGGTTCAAATGTATTTTAATATTAAATTTTACTTAGAATCATAATTTTATTACTGAGTTAGATAAGTACTGTTTTTTCAGTTATATAAAGTGGTCACCCCATTATTCTATAACAAAATACTGATTTTATTATCAAAACTAAAGTATTAATTTTTTTGTCTGGTAATTCAGAAGTAATTATTTCTTTGTATTTTTAATAAAAAGCATTTCTTAAATATGTTGTATGTCCAAATTAATTGACTGTATTCTTTGATAAATAGTCTGGCAATTTAACTAAATTGTGATTTTGTTCATTTTGAGGCTTTTGAATGTATTTAAAAAACTCCCAAGTCAGAGGTATTTATCCTTATTAGTAATAGAAATTTCTTTCGGTATTAATAATCATTTTAGCATAAATTTGTGTGATCAATAAATTGTCTCTATAGCTGCATATTTGTTTGGTATTAACATCTCAAACCGAAGCATTCTATATAGAAACATGAATCATTTTATACCAACTAATATTTTTTATCCCTGACCCAACCTAATGAATCATTATTTATTATATTTTGCTTTCATCATGGCATGTTTATCAACACATGACAACTTGAGTAATGACTCATGCAGCAATGAATATTGGTACTGAATAACAAAGAGAATAGCAACCTTTTCTATTGACATTATGCTTGGGGATGGTTACAGACTGAAGTTAAATGTGCTAAGAAATGCTGACGAGGAAAAATTTAACAAAAATTTCTTTCCATTTCCTAAAAGTAAATTTCGTTAATGATTACTTATAGGCCAAAAGATTACATTTAGTGCTATTTGAATTAAGAATAACTGACTTGTTATTCACATAAACCCAAAACCAGCACCAGAGCTTGTATGGCCAAACTGAGCGGCAGAATTTAGGGAAGACAAAATTTTTAGAATTTAGGGAAAGCACTGAGACCCAAAATTTAGGGGCGGAAAAAATTTGGAATTTACAGAGGCGCTTGGTAGCAGAATTTAGGACCTTTAGAGATTGCATCAGGTGTTAAGATATCTAGCACCACTCCTCGATAAGCCTAAAATATATATACGGGAATTTATTTATTCAGAACTCGGATAACCTTAAGCATATGCAAGAAACAGACATAAGAAATACCGTAATTTCCGGAACAAACGCCGCGGCGTTTACGTGTTTAAAACTTAAATTTTCAGCGGGTGCGGCGTTTCTACCCATGCAGCGTTTAGGAGCACTAAAAATAAAATATTTCCTACGATGGTCACTGTACATAGTTTTGATGGCCTTGTCATTGTGCATAGACTGGTGCTGTTCCCACACAAGACCACTCAGTTGCTTTTTGCGAAGGTTTTTTTGTTTACGTTCTTTCCCTTGAACGGACCTACATGCCTTATTCACCCTAAACGAGATCTCAGATCAATAACATTCTTCCCTCTTTCAAATCTACATTTTCATCAGTTTGAATAGTCTCTCTTCTCTGCTATTGGATGAATCTTCCAGGACCCATCCTCTGCCCACCCCTGCCTTTTCTGCAATTTTTTTCAAAGGCGGACACGACTCCACCTGCCTTGCAATAACGAACTCTGACGTATTTCCCCTTCAGCATGAATGGATTTTTCTTGGCATTCTGCCAAATACAGATCCCATCAGTTTGGGTACAAGTACTTGTTGAATAGTTTTTAAGTAAGAAGGGAGCGGAAAATTTTTGAAAATGTCTCTAAATGGCACAGAAGCTATACATTTCTTACCTTTAATTTATTTTTGAGTTATGGTTTCATTTCATGCATTTTTCTTAACTGGTATGTCATATATCAGGACTTAGGTTGAGTTTTTGCATCTATATGGCCCACGACGATGTCATGCGCAATTTAATCTATTGCGGCGTTTCTGTGTAATTTTAATTTTTTCCCCGCCATTTTTCTCGAGTGCGGTGTTTGCGCTGATGCGGCCTTTCTTCCGGAAATTACGGTAACTAAACTAATACAAATTACGGTACGGTAACTAAACTAATTCGAGTTTAATCGTCTGAGTGCAGGATAGAAGCTGGGCTAAAATTATACTCATTCCAAGGCATTTGAGTTAATATAGCAGATTGCACTGTTCCTCAACTTTCTGATTTAATCCAACTTATTGCTTTTTTCAGGCTGTTATTATTACAGCAATTTTATGAAAACTAAAGTTTGAACTTTCACTTATGTAAAAATGTTTCTAATTCCGGAGCTGCAACAGGCAAAGCAAAAGCATGTTTCGATGCCCATTAAACAAAAGTGGAATTGCAGCAAAAAATGGATAAAGGTATGTCAGCCTCAAAATTATGCAAGGAATATGGCATCAGAAAGTCAACTATAGGCGACATAAAACAGAAAAAATAACATTTTAATTTTGTTGTGGATTCCAACACCCCCACTCGCAATAAATAACAGAAAAATTATTTGTTATGCTAAAAGTGACAGATCATGACAAAGTGATGATTAAATGGGTCAGACAGCATCGCAGCTTAGCGTACCATTGACGAGTCCAATGCTAAGTCAAAATATTTCATGAAGAAATGAACTTAAAAATTTAGTGCACATATTTGACAGATTGGTTAACCAAATTTAAAAATCGCTATGGTATAAAGCAATTAAAAATTTCAGGTAAGAAAGCTTCAGGGATACTGAAGCTGCTCATTGAACTCTCTTATAGTGAAACATGTCCGTAATACATTTATGATGCTGATTCTGGCAATATATGCTGCGGAACACTTTGCAACCTCTACAGAAAAGGCTTTAACTGGTGTCAAAGATTCCAAAATGAGACTAACAATTTTAGCATATGCAAATGCTCCAGGAATGCACAAGTGTAAACTTTTCATAATCGGAAAAAATACATGACCTTGAGCATTTAAAGGAGTAAAGATTTTCCCCTTTACATACCTTGCAAATAAAACAGCATGGCTGACACAAGCATTAACAAATGTTGGGTTTGAATCATTTGATGATTGAATGATTAAATGATCTGCTGTGTGGAGCATTGCAAGATTGTGGGAGGATGTCCAGATACTTTGCTTGGCCTAATTTATGGCCAGCTATCATATTTCATGGTGAAGATGATAGCTGCGAATCTGAAGGTTTTCAGATATTGCAAACCGATGGTGAAATTTTCCTATTAATGTATTTTGTAAAGAAATGTGGAGAAGTGGTAATAAATGAAGATGATACAGCAGATGTTCTTCATTGCAGTGCCAATGCCCCAATTATCAATGAATTAACAGGTGAAATCTGTAGTATGGTTTCAGATCGAGAAAATAAATACTATACCTCGTATTTTGGTCGCAATTAGCTGCACTAAAAGTATATATATATATATATATATCCATACAATATTTATAGAGGTATCAACAATTTAAAAGTTGTTTAAATGTGGCTAAGCTTAATTAATTTTGTCATGGCAGACATGTTTGTTTACATTTTAAACTTGGCAGAATAGTGGATTTTTTGCCAATCTAGAGAAACTAAGCTTTGCAACAACAAAGATAAGAGTTAATCACTATTGATAGTGATGGAAGTGACAGAGGGATTGAAATGAAAAAATTTAAATTGACTAGTTAGTCGGAATTCTCGACACAGCAATTATTGGACGTGAACAAGAAATTATATCTGTCTGTAGAATTAACAAGAAAATATTAGCACAAAAAAGGGGGGAAAGCAACTTAAGCAAATTACATTGAAAGAAAGGTTTAATAAAGTAAACAAATAAATATTAAGCTTTTTTATGTAAATTTTGATACACTTTAGACCATAAATGCTTCATTATTTCATAAATCATGATTTTATATTTTTAATTTTTAATTTCTATATGCCATCTTACTAGATTTAAACTCATGATCTAATATCCGTAAAAATCCTAAATCTGGGATCACCGAAGTCCTGGCAAGTCCGGATCTCGGACTTTGTGCTCTATTAAATTTATTTGGTCCAGCAATTCCAGTTTTTAGCACAGTATGAGAAGAACATAAAGGTAGTTAATAGAATTAATTTGAAAACATCATTTTATTTTCCTTGCCATTTGAAGTATAAAATGCGTTTCACTAAATGATACATAAAATACTTGCTACAATGATAGCCAAACCCAAAGATTAATGAATAAAACCTCTAAAACAAGAGGAAATATATCCCCATATTACCAAAAATAAAAAAGAAAATTATTCAAAAGCATGGAGAACATTCCCATGTGATTATATCAGCTGATGCAGTTAATAGCTAACTCTGTTCATTTATGTTACTCAAGCCTGGATTTCCACCTTGATTCTGAAACAAAATATCATAAATACTGCTATGGAATGAATGATAACAGTCTCAGTAAGTTCCACCATAGCAAACGTAGGCTATATCTAGTGGGAAAAGATACTAATTAAATGTTATACTAAAAATTTGTATGTGGTACATCTGCCCTAACAGTCAATTTAAATTCATGCATGGCACACCTGGCATTTGAGATATAGTTGGCAGCAGATGCATGTGTGACACACCTACCCTGAAAAGGTTAATTTACATAATAAGCAGTATTGTAGAGAATTCAAAGTTTTAGAAAGAAGTTTTGTTAAAAAAATAAATGTGAAAAAATGTAGAATATTATTTGTAGTTTTGTTAAAAAAATAAATGTGAAAAAATGTAGAAAATTATTTGTTTAATACATTGATAGGAAAAAATAATATGCACAAAACATGTTTCAAGAATCCCCCTTCCTCGGATAAAAAGAATGTTTTAAAAAGTGTCATTGTTACCACTTATTAGAGAAATGATGTTGACGAATTGTCAATAATTACTAAATATGTTATTAATAAATACTGAGTGTAATTAATCATATTTAAATAGCTGACTTCCAATTCTTTTCAGTTCTATAAATTAGAACTGTATATTCAAGTTAACTAATAATTTTAATATTTTCATACTTCATATACATTTCTTTCATTAGTACAAACAAGCCATTACCAAAGCTTTATCAAATGAATCTTACAAACAATGCTGATTATATGGGAATTCCTTATCCATTTGGTGTTGACCCAGTAAGTTATATTTCTCTAAATTTATAGATATTATAAATGTGTTTATTTTTTTTTACCATAATACCATTTTAGAAAAGTGCCAAAATCTTGCAGTAAGTGGGTTAACCGAGAGCCATTGCTTATAATAAAACTCTTTTCTAAGTGGATGAAGGCTTGTTCTTAAAAAAGTACACTGATTATTTTAGTAATTTATTGTTTTAATGATGTTCCACTTTGAATAAATAAGCTAATTAGTTTTCTTTGAATTTATTTGTTGAATAATTTTGTTTTTGTATTTCTTGTCTTTCTTTGTATCTTTGTTTTTGTATTTCACGTAAGCATAAATGTTTTGTCAAAATTTTTAATGATTGTTCCTCTGCTGTAAACAGTTGTGAAGTTTTTCAGTAAGTTTTAAGTGTAACACAAGTGTAGAAAGACAGATGTCAAAAATTAATTTCTCTGCTCAATAAGTTGTAAGCTTAACACACTTGTGCAAGGTAAATATTTGAAGTTAATTTCTTGCTTGTCTACATTATTCTCCTGCAGTGATCCATTAAGCAACAAAATTCAGCAGAAAAAATGTTTTGCCAGCTTCTAACTGTTCCTTAATGTCATCTTTCAAGTCACCACCATCATCATCAATTGAATTTTCATTATACAAATACTGCTTTGATTATGTAAATGAAAAGAAGTCTCTTAGGGCTAGGTCTGGTGAATACAGTGGATTGAAATCTCCATTGCTGAACAGAAGTCTAGGAACTCTGAACCTTGAGTGTTGAAGCATTGCTGTGCAAGTCTAAAACTATTGTCATGTATGGTTCATAACATCTTACCCTTAAAGCTTGTGAAAATTGATTCAATAGATTAGCATAATGAAATCTCATTTTGGTATTGTGTAGCATGCAGTCAATACAGTCAAACACCGAAAATCCGCCAACCTGAAATCCGTGTTGCCTCTCAAAATATAATTATTTAGTTTATAGGTTGTGGAAACTGCAACATGGAGTACAAAATATCGGAAGAACAAATATTTACTGGATAATGATGTCATAATTACCGAATAATAATGAATCATAACGGAAATACCAAATTATTGGCATCATGATAAGAGTTTTTTTTTTCCCCTGCAATCTGCATCGAAGTAAAAAAGTAGACGATTAACTCAACTCTTCTTTCAAGTTCACGCTTCACATTGTTGTACTTTCTGAGCTTTGTTATTTCACAAGATTGTTTAGTGATGTCGTTTCTTTTTAATCCGGCCGGATTAAAAAAAAGACATGAATTAAGAAACGAATTAATTAAGAATATTTTAAATTTCAGCACTTTTTAATGCAATGGCTGATAAGATTTTACTGCTTGCAATGTTGAAAAACGTAAACACGTTGCATTGATGGTAATGAAAAAAGTGGAAATTCTGCCAAAGATGGAGGCAGGTGCTACTGCTCGGTTTATAGCAGAATCGTATGGGATTGCCACATGGACTGTGTATGATATATGGAACAATAAAGAAAAGCCGTTGAAATTTTAAAGCAACAGTGATTCTAACACTGGAACCCGAAACCGGGGAATCTTTTCATGAGGCGAAATCGGCAAACCTCGATGCTGTCTTATATGAGTGTTTTTGGCAGTGGCGGAATGATGGGGTACCTATTTCAGGACTACTGAGAAAAAAGGGGAAGCAGATTTATGCTGATTTAAAAATAGAGGAGTCTAATGTAAATGAACAATATAATATAATCAGTTTATATATGTAATAACAATTTAATGCATATAATTAATTATTGTATTAATGTATATAATAATTTAATTAAATGTATCTAATACGTCTTATTTATTTTGCGCTTTTAGTCTGAATATTATCTTTTCTGTCCTAAAATCCGCACAACCTCTGGTCCCAAGCATTGCGGATTTCTGGACTTTAACTATATATGGATCTTTCTTCACCTTAAGGGATGGTGTTCATAATTTTCCTGGCAGATTTCTGGGTTCTGAACTTGTTATGAAATTTACTTTGTTCCACACCATGCTTATTCTGGAACACAGTGATATAACATCATGTCACTGGCTGTGAATTTGTTCTTCATTTATCATGAAAGGAAGTTCTGAAACATTTCACGCAATGATTTTTCATTTTTAGCATCAACATTATAGGTATTCATTGTGTATAGGCTTAAATTCTCAAATTTTTTTTCTAGGATTTTTTTTATCTGACCCAACATTGATACTCATTTCTGAGGCAATATGGAAAACTGTTACTTCTCTATTTTCCATCACATATTTTTTAACTTTATCACACATTTCTTCAATGGTCATATTCGCAGTGGGGCCTGTTGTGGGATTATCTTTGAGTGATACTGTTTACCATCTAAATGTGGAACACACCTTGTGATGACAGCAAAGGAATATACTGTATTATAACAGCAATCACATGTTCATGAATATTTGCCCATATTGTGCCCTTTTTTGTCAAGAACTCAATTCCCAAATGATACTTGGTATTTTTATTTTAATAGATATCACAGACTGACAGTATTAAGTAGGCCTATCAAAAAATCAAGTAATATTTGTTTATGTGTGTTTTACTTTTAGTGCTTCCTTAGGATAATGCTATCATTTCACGTCATTTATCATCTTCCCACAAAACTATTCATATATAGCTGGAATTTTGTTACTTAACTGATATTCATGACCTTAAAAATAACATAAAGTAATAATAATAATTTTATTGTTTTACAGATTGTACTTTTCTTATTATATATAGTTTTATTTTTTCATGTTGATTTTTAAAATCTTCATTATTTAATTTTATAAATTCTCTAAGAATATCCATTTAATCTTTAAAGTCATGTTATGGGAAGAAAGGTAAATTTTCTTTTAAGGAATTTAATCTATAGAATCAATTTTAATATTGATGTATTTCAAATTTCAGGTGTGGCAGGTATCAACCAACAAAATATTGTTTTTAAATTCGTACAAGATGAAAGTGTCTGTTATATTTGGTGTATCGCAAATGGCTTTTGGCGTTATTCTTAGCTTGTGGAATCACAGGTAAAAAGAAAAGTCTGTAATATTTATATTTAAATTTGAGTTTAAACATTTTATTAATACAATTGATCTTTTTATATTTGAAGTGTATTTTTATGTTTCTTTTTTGTTGCTCACTTTTCAATTTCGCTGAAAATTTTTCGTATATCTCGTACTTTGTACGGATTCATAATAAATTGAATGCACACAGGTCCGGTGATAGGTTAATAAAATTTATTTTTATTAAATGAAACACTTCAAAGTTCTGGAATTTTCCACAGAAATACTCGTACAAGTGTTCACAATATCACAGAATACAACGAGTAGTTATACTTCAAACTACTAAGAATGTTAAACACATTACCACATTTCCAAGGATGGCATAACCTGGGCAGTGCAATTTGTGGACAAGAAGCCATACTTGCAACTAAAGAAAATCAATGCAATACTTTAAAAATAATTGCAATAAATATCATAAAACAAATCAAATACTAAATCATTAATTGAATACACAAATTTAGAAATAAATAGGGCAATGGTCTTAGTATACTATTTATATTATATACCATAGCAAGGAGCTAGCCTTTCGTAATGAACACCTTCCGGCTTAAAATTCAATGATTTACAGATCCGAACTACAGCGTCATTCAGCCCATTTAGAACAATGTAAGGACCATCTCAAGGTGAGTGTAGTTTAGGAGAGAGTCCTTTCTGTTGAATTAGATTCCACAACCATATGTTGTCTGCGTCGTTGAATCAATGTCCTCTAGCTCTCATGTCATATCGGGTCTTGATCCTCTCCGTTGCCAAGTTGACTCACTCTTGTGCAAAACTGTGCATCACTTCAAACTGTGCCTGGAGATCTTGGATGTACTCCTCAGGTGCTGAAGGCGCATTCGAAGGACGACCAGACAAGAGATCACACAGCAGATGAAGGCTATGACCGAAGATCATCTGGGATGTGGAATAGCCAGTGGTCTTGTGATCAGCACTGCAGTAAGCTAGAAACAGGGATAACTTTTTGTCCCATTCCTGTTGGTTTCTGGAAACCACCAATGAGAGGTTGTTAAGGATGGTTCATTTAAACCTCTATATAATACCGTCTGACTGAAGATATAAATGTATCTTTTCATTGCCAAGTAGGTTGCAGAGTTCTTTAATTATAGCCATTGCAAAATTTCTTCCTTGATTGGAATGTAACTGAAGAGGCACTCTGAGGAAATCCAATGCTGTATAATTACATCTGCTACCATGATAGCCTCTTGGTGAGGAATAAGATACACTTCAGTCCACTTGGTGAAGTAATCAATGATGACGAGGATGTATTTATTGCCATCAACATTTCATGGCACATGTCCCAGGATGTCAGAGGCGATGTGTTCAAAAGGTGCTCCTATATTGTAATTTCTTTGGTCCTTTCCAACCTGCACAGGCATCACAAGATTGGCACCACTTTTGCATATCTTCCTTGCATTACTCCAGTAGAAGTGCTCTCGAACTCTATGTAATGTCTTCATTATTCTGAAGTGGCTTCGAGTTGGACTGATATGTAAATCTTTAAGGATATCTGGGATCTTGGAAGTATCAGCTGCCATCAAAATGTCTTTCCATCATCTGATTCGAACTTCCAATACAAGATGCTGATTTAAATATAGAATGAGTTCCAGAGAACCAAATAGTTTTTTGCTGTAGGATTACAAATAAAAATATCCTGCCAGATAGGTTTGCTGTTTGAAGATTCCATTATATCAATTATGGATTTAATGTCTCCATCAGCCAACTGGTGCTTCCTGACTTCTTTGTCACTCCATGGGTCTCGATGAGCGAAGTGGGATAAGTAGCTTGTAATTGCCTGTGAGATATTTGTACTACTTTCTGCATCTCCAAATTACTGGAAGGCAATATGAGTGTTGAATTATGGTTGCAGCTAACATAGTGATCCATTACATTTATTCAGTTACAATATTTATTACGGTGATACAGGGACCAGACTAAAATGTTGGCAAATGGTTGCCAAGTTTGGCAACTTTCAGCAACTGACCACCAAATGTGGTGACAAAATAAATCGCCGAAACCGTTTCCAGCTTGACGATATCTCACCAAATTTCTGAGATACCCATTTACTCAGTATTAAATGGTCTAGTCCTTGTATTCCTACTTTGCTCGTCTCTAGATTTTTCATATTACGTTATACAGTCAAAAGTCGTTAATTCGGACACCCATAATCCGGAATGATCTATAATCTGGACCTCAAAGCTAAAAACTTTCTGCGCATGCGCCGCATTGACACATGCGCATAGGCATTTACACGTGCGCGTAAGACCTTTTACCACTGTGCATGTGCGCAAGCGCAGAATACATTTTCGCTTGCGCGTTTTATGTATAACGGACGGTATAATCTAAAATTATCTAATTATCTATTTCAGTTAATGTTGATGATTGCGTTGTTCCTTAATCTTCGAATTAGATCCGGCTTATTATTTTTTGCAGACTGTAAGAGCAATTTTATAAAAGTAAACTTGAACTTTCGATTATGTCAAATAGAATTTCCGATGCTGGAACTTCCAAAGGATCGTACAAAACGAAAGTATGTTTCGATGTCCATCAAACAAAAAGTGGAATTGCTGCAAAAAATGGATAAAGACATGAAGAATCTGACAGAGAGGTTAGTGAAAACGAAAAAATTTCGATTGACAAGTTAGTCGGTATTCTCGGCACAACAATTAACGGAACTTGAACAGCGGAACTGTGTAACTGAACAAGAAATTGTGTCTGTTTATAGAATTAAAGAGAAAGTATTATCACATAAAACGAAGCAACTTAAAACAACTTACATTGAAAGAAATGTTTAATAAACTAAACAAATAAATATTAAGCTTTTTTTTTTTTTTTTTTTTTTTTTTTGTAAATTTGGATACCCTTTAGATTATAATTGTTCTTTATTTCATAAATTATGGTTTCATATTTTTAATTTCTGCATGCCATCTTACCAGATTTAAACTGATGATCTATAATCCGGAAAAATCGATAATCCGGAACCACCGAAGTCCCGACGAGTCCGGATTAATGACTTTTGACTGTACAAAAGAAATACAACAATTTTATTTATAATTCCACTAAAATTACCTAAGTACAAAATTCATAACAATACTTTATTTATAAATGTTTGATTTTTTAGGAGTGTAAAAATGCACTTGCTGTAGATTTATTTTCAATAATAATAGGTTGTATAATAATTGTTTTTCAGGAAGCAATAAGTCTTTCTTATTTTTATTATTAAAATACCAGCAGACATTTTATTTGTTGAATTTCAGACCAATTTCCAAAAGTTTCAACTAAAATATGTTGAATTTTAGTTGGTTATATGGCCTTTTGAAAAATCAATTCCAATGAAAATTTTCCCTCCAGTTATTTGAGAATGCATTAACGAGTCCCTCTGTGTGGGGGAAAAAAGTTAATGTGAAATGATAAATTCTCATCACAAACCATCAACATAATGCAAAATTGGGTACTGTTCTGTTATCAGGACCGGATTCAGAAGTGTATGTATGTATGTTCATATATGTGTAGGCACACATGCAGATACATATGGGCATACACATGTACATACATAAACACATCCATCCATATATGTATGCATACATACATTTTTTGACCCAGTCCAAATAATAGAACAGTACCCAAAATTGTCTATAAAAATACAATACTGATAATAAAATAAAGAAATAATTAAAAGGAAAGATCATATTTTAGTAATATTTGGGATTGTTTGCATCTGCAGTACTTTATAATTATATGTGATACAGATTTATGTTAGCATGTTTAAATTATCCACTGCAAGGAAATTGCAGAATTTAAAAAATAAATTCAGTATATATCAGTTAAAAAAATAGTTTTAGGATATGAAGAAACAGAAAAAGAGGATGTGCACAGGATCGAGAGCTTTGATTGCTGATTTAGTTTGTACATTTAACTTATTCTCCAGATTAAACTGCTAGAAATATAAGTAAATTAATTGTTAATAGTTTAACTGTAATATATATTATTCCTTCTTTTATTTTTATTTCGCCTTCATCTGGCCTTTAAATGTACTGGAAAACAAACGTCCTCTTGACAAACTCACAAACATTGTATACAAGTGCCTCTTGATAAACATTAGTATCCAAGAGAAACATTAAATTTAAAAACTGCACAGAATTATTGCCCTCATTTTTCTGAGTGACAGCAGTGATATATCAGCAACAATGGCTAGAGCCATTGTTGTTGATATAATGTGAGAGAATTGGGAACTTGATGCGATTTCATCAAAAAACTTGATATAAAAAGAAACTCATTCGAATTTTGAAAATATCGCTTCGAGGTGCACTGGCTCTTGTCTAGATGCACCTGTGTACCAAATTTCATAGCCCTAGATCTATTAGCTTATGCACAGCATAAACGAAAAACAAAACAGACAGACTCTTCCTTCTATTTTATGTAGAGATTTATTTATTCTTTTCGTTTTGTGTGTTCTTGAATTGATTGTGATTTTGAGTTAACCATGGACATCTTCCCCACTGTTACATTGATTAATCAGTAGTTAAGTACGGAAAGCATGTTAACTTATATATATGGTGATTCAGAATTTAAAAAAATTATTAACCTATAGGCATAAAGTTTTAAAAAGTGAAACACTGTTTTCTAGCCTAAATGTTGGACCTTCATTGAGTAAATCTTCTCAAATGGGAAAATATATCATACTCTGAAAATTAGTTATTCAAGTTCAAAAACACTTCAAAACATTTATTCGTACTGCACAAGCCATAAACTTGCTTAATTCCCATTTCTGAGAATTGACAGTGAAAGTTCAGATTCATTCTCAGAGCTGGTTTTATGCCACACGCAGAGACATATTAATGACATATTAATATTATATGAGTAAAGTAATCACTAACAGCAAGCCAGTGCAAGTTTTAACAGTTGTCTATTCTATAGTAATACATAGAAGTGAATAATCTGCATGTTTATGTTATTAAAATTTTTCTTAAGTCTTATGTTTTTTATATATTTTAATTAAGCTCACTAATATTATAATTATGCATCAGTTATATTTTAATTGAATGAAAAACTTTGTTTTAGGTATTTTAAACAGCCACTGAATGTTATATGTGAATTTGTGCCACAACTCATATTCTTAATCTCGATATTTGGATACCTGGTGATACTGATATTCTCAAAATGGACAAATTATGATGCTACTATGTCTGGATGTGCACCTAGTCTCTTGATTATGCTGATAAATATGTTCCTGTTTAAATACCCATCAGAACCATGTTACCTAAAACCAATGTATGCTGGTCAAGTGAGTTATAACATACTATTTCTATCTTAAAATTAAGACTTGTGTAAATTTAAATGGAAATTGAGAAGAACATCTGTAATGAATAAAAAAAGAGGGAAGGATAAGCTGTTTAAACAAAAAAAGGAGAAAGAAAGAAAGATTAATCTTGACATATGCTCTGTTGTGTATGCTTTATGAATTGTATGTGTATATTTCTAGTAATAAAGATATAAAAATACCAGTGCAACTAAAATCTGCTATTTTAAACCTGAAATTAGGAAAAGGTTATAAGGAAATGTCAAAGAAAAATTTCCTTTCATTCAAGATGCATTTAAGTGACTATTGTTTTGGTTCAAATTTGTAGAGCATTATAGCATGGTTTTTAAAATTTAGAACATTTCTGCATACTTTTGGTTAAAAGTAATTTGATATTAAGAAGTTTTTTTTTTCTTTTGTAGGCAGTGTTTCAAGGAATGCTTGTTGTAATAGCTTTGTTATGCATTCCCTGGATGCTTCTTTCCAAGCCATATATGCTATACAGACAGTGGTTGAAGAGGCCAACTATGGTAGGTTTTTATCAACTTTTACAAATATTGCTGTTGTCACTTCAATGTGTATAATGAATATGATGCTTTAGTGATAACATATTTATATTTGCAATAATGATGAGATTTTAAGTATTGTACAAACTGTTGTTTTTCTTAATTTGAGGAATGTGTATTTCCTATTGAATAATGTTGCTGAAATCATTTATTCCCTAATTATTCGATGATTCAAAATGAGGAAAGGCACTTAATAGTGTGTAAGGCATTGCATAAATAACCCTCATAAGAATTTATTGTATTTCCTTATGCATGCTCTTATGATGCAAGTGACAGCATGTCCAACTTTTGGAAGGTCCATGTTTCAAATTCTAGTAACAAATTCCTCCCCTCCCAAACCAGGAAGTATGTGAAATGAAGTACACAACAGCATAGTTTTATTTCTCTTGTTTCCTAGCACACGCACATGCAGAACCCCCCTCCAAAAAGTAATTATAAAGCAGTGTAGATTTAGTTAATGTGCCTTTCTCTAGTTCCATTCTAGGTAGAAGAAAATATAAGGAATCATTTTATTCTCACATTTGTTTATGTACATGGAAGTAGTACTACAATGAAGTGGTATCATATTCAGCTAGCAGCTGAAAGATCTATGAGTTTTTTTAATGTTCAGATTATTCCTTTTAATACTTGACATTTTCTAACGTTATTGTATGATGTATTATTTCATCTAAATTTTATTTTTTTAGGTCACTTTAGATCAAGTAACCATATTTTTTAGTTATCATTAATCTGTTATTTATTTGATAATGTTAATTTTTTCCCCTCCAGATGGGTGGAACTGAAAATAAAACTGGTGAAGATGGTAAAAATGGAGCAGATGGAATAATGAAAGAAAACCAAATTCCTGAAACTACTATACCAGAGACTTTTGATTTTGGAGAAATTTTTATACATCAGGCCATTCACACTATCGAATATTGTTTAGGATCAATATCACACACTGCATCATACCTTCGACTATGGGCCTTAAGTTTAGCTCATGCTCGTAAGAATTTTTTCATTTGCTTTATGAGTTATGGTGATTTTATCAATTTTTTTTATCATAACATGTTTGATGTTGTATTTATAAGGGTGATTTAGATATACTATTAAAATATTGCTTTTGAAACATTTTTCTCTATTAACTTTATTAATATATTAATGCTCTTCACAATATATCAGAAGTTTTCTTTCTTTATTATTTTTATTTCTATGCTATAAAAAGAAGTAGGATGTGTATGAAGCAGATAGCTCATAAATACTTCGATTCATTCATGTGATAAAGATGTTCCATCGCTTTATGCTTTTTAGAGGTGCAAGCAAATGGTGGTCTGAAGGTGCTGATCTATGTGGGTAGGGAGGAGTATTGGTTTTTAAAATGCTTGACCTTGTTCAGTGAAGTTTCTTTAATTCTTATTTGTTGCTCGTAGGAGACTTGCATCCTGGGGAGCACACTGCAAATTGGAATGTACTTTGGACCAATATGCTGCTATTCTCTTCTCCAAAAGTTCACAGAAGTATATTGCATTAATTCTAAATTATTCTTGAACAAAATTAGTGTGCACAGTAACCTTTTGATGATGATAAAAGTGATAAAAGCTTTGCTAGCAGATAGCCAAGTGTTTTCAGTAGATAAGAATGACTTTTTTGTGTGTTATTCCAAATTAAACTGCTTTGTTTCAGATAATGTATATGATAAATGTTGGGTGCACTTAACATTTATTATATGTATCAAAAATGCATCTTTTTATATCATTTTGATTTAAATGTCTTTGAAAAATTTCTGATTTGGCAACCTTTTGATTGGCATTTAAGATATGATGCACCCATTACATCATTTTTCAAAATTTGGATGAAGTGCACATTTTCATAATTTATGCTTTTTTTTTTTAATATCTCGTGAACTGTTATTCATTAGTTATCATAAATAAGGTCACATATTTGTTAAATTTGTTTTCCTGTTACATTTGTTCTTGATCTATGAGAATAGTCAAATTTTCAACTTCTGCATGGCAATTATGAAACAGCTTGGCCGATTTGTGTACTTGAGACTTTCATAGAGTGTCATTACCAAATTGTACATTAAATCTGTGACAAAATTAAATAGATTGGACACTTTCAGACATTAAAATTTTAATAATTTTACTTTGTGCAACTGCATTAGGTACTTGTCTCTCACTTATAATGCTAATGGTGAAATACTAAATGATCATGTAAAGAATGAAACAGAATAAAATGATTTTTTAACCATTAATGACTCTCATGGTTGTTATGGTGACAGGTATAAAAGTTATCTGCTAGTATTATAAAAATGTAACTTATAAGTAATCCATCTACATAACTGTCACAAGTAATATTGTTTTTGTGCATTTTGTAGGAAGCCTTAGAATGCTTTTAAAAATGGTTGAAATCTGTAAGTGATATGAAACTGTAATATCTGACTTAGTTACTGTTAGTTGATACATTGCAATCATGAGTACAAAGATATGTTAAATATGATATAATTTTAGAAAGGTATATGTAATGAATGAGATCTAGGTTTCAAGAAATTTCAGTTACTGTTTGACCCAAACTTAATATGGATAAAGTTAACCATGTGTGTAGCTGTTAACCTTGTAACATGAAAAATTGTGGAGATTTTTGTATGTCAACATAGTTTCAAAAGAATAAATTGGCTTGAATTCCTTTTATTATGCATGAATCAAGTTATTCAACTATTTATATTTAATATGATACTAGTGTAAAAATATTAATATTAAATATCCTAAATTGTATTTTCTTAAGCAAATTTCATTCTGTAATTTTCTTATACTTCTATACTAACGAAATTCTGAATATGGAAAGAATGCTTTAATTTATCAAAATACTTTTAAGCGTGATGAAAGTAAATAATTAATGTGCATACAACTATGTGGCTAAATTTAATAATATGTTATATATTGCTTAACTTAAATGCAAATATTTACTGATTTAAACACCAGTAGAATCTTCATATAAAATTCTGCTATGTCTACAATAAATTATGTAAAAAATGTAATAAATTATGTATAAATTCAAATAAAATAAAATTTAATTTTATTGCTTTCCAGTTGTATTTTACAATGTCTTAGTTTTTATTTATTTTTAATTTCACAAGTGTACAGTGAAATATTAAAATTTCTTTTTAAAGCAGGTAAGTGTCTTAACTTGTTTTACTTAAAACTGAAAAGAAAAATGTTCTTCTTACCTTCAGAATTATCAGAAGTATTATGGAATATGGTTTTGCGCATTGGTATTTCTGGAAGTGGTGGTGTTCTTCTCTACTTGACATTTGGTGCATGGGCAGTTCTTACTATTGGTGTGCTGCTTATTATGGAGGGTTTATCTGCTTTTCTGCATGCATTACGATTGCATTGGTAAGGAAATATTAAAATTTCTCTATATTCCCTCTTTATTTAAAATTATGATAGCCTTTAATTTCATTACTGTTTCAAATTGTGGCTGTTGAATGTATTCATGCAAACTTTTATTGCACCTGCACTGGTTAAAAATAACTGTTGTTTATTGGGGTTATTATTGTTTTTAATCTTTTGAAATTTAAAATGGCCCTTTACAAATTAATTAGAAATTTGATCAGTTTAGAATTCATTTCTGTAAGCATTTTAACCCTTTGCATTCCAGTGGGCATTGCAGTAAGACTTTCCAGACCTATTTTTTAAAATTTTATAATTTATTTGTTACCTTAACATTTATTACAAAGAATAAATTTTATATTTCACATTTTGAAATTAGTCATAGTATTGGAATCTATACTGATAGCCAAGGATGAACATCTCCCATGTTCATGCTTGACTTAGGATAAATGTTGCAGTATTCACAGCTTAGGATAAGTGTTATAGTATTCACTGACTTCACAACTTTCTTCTTTTCTTACGTACTACACATTTCCTTTTAACTTCTTTTCATCACATGGAGTTTTTCATTTGTAGTAATTGTTAATTCAACATTGGTTCTGAAATATTTGAGATTTTTTAATCCCGTGACTTTATCGAAAAATTTATTCTTTGTTAAATAGCATTTTTTTTACAATACCTTCTTATTCATCATTTTCAACTTCTATTGAAGTATTGCCACTATAATTATCAGCAGTGTCAATAGCACACACTTATGCTTATTTATCTGGCATTATTTTATCACTCTGTTGTTTTTATTATTATAAATGATTTATTTCTAATTTAATGAAATGTTCATTAGATTGTTTCTGTGTATATTACAATCACAGCTGTGTTAAGTGATGAAAAGTCTGAAATTTGCAAAATCATTTTGCTTTTTCATTTTTTAAAGAGAAAACAAATTATTTCCAAGTAATTAAAAATAACTTTTCACATACTTTCTGCCTTGCAGTCAACAGAGTTTGCAAGCTAATGAGCCTACTATTAAAACGATAAAGACTAAAAAATTGCTGTTGTGTAGTAGTATCCTTGGAGTTGTGCAAGTTCATACAGTGGATACCACCTATCAGAATCGCTGCTTTATCAAAACACAAGGAACAATTTCAAATAAATACAATATCATAATAAAATAACTGCTCAATATAACCAAATTGCTTTTAAAATTAGTAAATAATAAAAAGTCAAAACTCCAAGTTTGTGTTTCAAGTTTAGTGATTTTATTCAAAGTTGATTCACTTTTGCATGTGGAGCTGCAAATGCTACAGTTTTCTTATCTGGAATTATAAAAAAAACCTATGTTAAAAAAAGTCTATGTTTAAAAGTGGTTGATTCACTTTTATAAGTGCAGGTGCAAGTGCAAATGCTGGAATTTTCTTGACCAATCATGGGGGGGGGTGACAAGAGGTTTGTCAGAACTGCCTCATCCTTTGGGAGAAGGGAAAAACATAAGGAAAAAAAGAGGGGAGGGAGAATCTGTATAAAAATTTGTTGTGCCCCCTGCGCACACAGTTTGTTAAATTTACCCATCCACATCATGCTCTTGTTGTTTGGCTGTGCCTTAAAATGTCCAAGCACAAGGACTTAAGCTTAAAGAATTGTTGAAGCGATATGATGCTTTACCAAAATGCAAACAATGTGAAGCTTCTGTACAACTCAGAATTTCACAATCTACATTATGTACATTGTTGAAAAGAAAGTAGGCAATTTCAGATGAGCTGATGGCAAATGCAAATGTCTCGCATAAGTGGAAGCAAAGTGGAAAGTCTGCCGATGTAGAAACTGCCTTCTTGGGAACGATTTTGAAATGCTAGGAAGAAGAACGTTATCATGTCATGAGAAATTCTGTATCTAAAGGCAACAGAATCACCAGAATGCTGGGAGAGGAGTTTGTCCCTAACCAGTTGGCTGGCTCACAAGATGCAGATTCTAATGAAGCCAGTAGTTGAATAGAAAAGATTCTAGCCAGACTTTTCAAGAATATAAACTGCATCAAATTTTTAACATTGATGAGACTGATCTTTATTATTGAGCCATACCTCAGCTTACTTTAATGGTGAATTGTCAGCTGGCTGTAAAAAAAGTGAAACAATATGTTACTGTGTTGTTAATGTGTAATATGGATGGAATAGTTAAAATGACTCCATTAGTCATGGGTATAAGAAAAACCCTCGTTGCCTGAAGGGTGTCAAGCATTTGCCTATGACCTATTACAGCAATAAAAATGCTTGGATGACAAGCAGTATTTTTTGTGATTTTCGTATGAAGTGAGATAAAGAACTGCAGCAAGAAAAAGTGGTGCTCTTATTAGATAATTGCACTTCCCATTCAACTGATCTCTTATTGAAGAGCATAAAATTAGTTTTCCTTCCTCCTAATACAACTTCCATTTTTCAGCCATTAGATCAAAGTGTTATAAAAGCATTCAAGAATCATTACAGGAAGGAAGTGGATCAAAATGTTATTAGTGAAATTAATACAAATGATGCAGTTTGTTCTGCTAAAGAAATTGTCAAGTCAGTTTCTCTCTTAGATGCCATGCATGTTATTTTAAATGCATGGGATGAAGTAACTTCTCAAACAATTTCAAACAAAGTGATTTAAAAAAGCCATCTTCCGTTCAAAGCAAATTTCTGAAAATTCCCCAGATGTGCGAGAAGACAAGGATGATGATGAAAAATTGCATGATAAGACTTTCCTCGAATATTTGGGAATTGATAAAAATATCCAGACTTGCTATGAAAAGTGTGATGCGGAGATCATTGGAGTTATCAGAGGAAACAAAGGAATTAGTGAAAATGAAAGTGAGTCTGAAGATGAAAATCCCAATCCTGTACCAACAGCAGCAGAGTCTCAACAAGCATTAAAAATTTTGAGAAGAATGCTTGAACTTAAAGGGGGAGGTACAGAAAGTTACAACCAATGCTGTCTTGGAGACCATCGTTGGAAAGCTACTAACAAGAAATATGCAGAAATGGATAAATTTTTAAATAATGTTTGATATGCTTACATATTGTATTGATCTGTGTAACATGTTGAAATAATTGCAGTTTTTCTGAATTAAGATGGCTCTTGTTGTCTACAGAAAAAGTAATGAAAGTTTTTTAAAAAAATGTGTTTGTAACTTACATATTAAACAGAATATAGAAAAAGAGTATTAATCACAACAGCAGGGCCATATGCAAGGAGAGAAAGGTTCAGGCAGGTGCACATTTTATTCATAAAACTTTATTGAAATCTTATATAAAATAAGTCTATTTTTATATCACCTTCCCTGAAAATATCCAATCTTGTAATCCCTAACCAAAACAAAATCTTGTGTGCGGCCCAGCAACACATATAAAACTTAACCGCTTTATAAAATCAAATAATGTTGGAACAGACATGATCATATTAAGTGGTACCCACTGTATAACCATATTGGCAGCTAGAGGGTGCCAAGATTTAAACAATTCATAGTTTATACAGTATTCTTATGCAATAATTGATATTTATATCATTAAGCAATTAATAGCAGATTAACATAAAAAAGAGCTTCAAGATAATAAATCTGTAAGAAAAACATATTAGCTTTAATTAGTCAAAACTAAAATATGGGAATTTCCATTGATTTAAATATTTTTATGTCTTTTGGGAAACTATGTAAAGGTAGTATTTGATTCCTTAATCCTTTGATTTTACATTTCTTTATATGAATATGTGCCCCAACAGTAGTCAAAAGGATAAGGAACAGAGTAGAAGTTATATTGTCTTTCAATATTGCATAAAGAATTAAATTTAAATCAGTGCCAATCTAAGGCTGAATTTCTTCTAATTTTACAATGAAGAGGAATTTTGAAATTAGCTCCAAGTAAATATTGTGTAATTTTTTAAATTAGAAATTGATATGATGCATTTGTAATATATTCTACTTTAAGTCTTTTTACATCTTAATTATAAATTAAAACGCTTTTATGTTTGCTTTGAAGAAGAAAGCAAATAAGTGACATGTTGAAGTGGCATACAGTTTTAGTCTAAAAAGACTGAAATGTAGACAACATGAAGATAAAATTTGAATATGCTTGATATTGCATATAGAAGTATAGGTCTCAAAATTTTATAGTACAATATCCGTAGTAAATAGAACGAAAAGAATCTACAATCTCTCCATGTTTGCACTTGTAATATGCCTATCATGTAATTTTTTATCGTTTTTTACAACCCCCCATCCCCAGAATCAAATAGTTACAGATATAGGATACTAAGGCAAAATTAACTAATGTCACAGATTGTACATGCTTTTCAAGATGACTCTTCTTCTGTGGCTTCTATGCCACAGAACATAAGAGTAGGAGTACAAACACATCAAATATCTTATAATTATTTCCTTTCTACGAAATGTTTTAGCCCAGGTGTTCTCATCCAGTAGAGAACTCCTCCAAAAGAGAAAATTTTTTTGCATCAGATTTGGTAGATTAAATTGTAACAAAAACTCATTGCAAAAAATTGTGGCTGAAACCGTGTGACCCAAAATATCTGAAAAAAATTAAATTTAGGTGTTATACAAGTATTATAAAATTACTAGAAATGTTTTCTTTTTTATATCAGTTAAATGTAAAAATAATTTATATATTAATAAACATATAAATAATATTTATTAAATATAAGAAACATATGTGTACCATAATAATATATTAAAATTAAAGAGTTTCAAATTTTGTTTTGCCGTAACTATTTTCTTTCAGTTAGTGTTTTAGTGTAGCTAAAGAGAGTTGTGTATCATCAGGAGCATGTAATTTTCCTTAATATATTCTGCCATTAAAGAATTAATATCTTAAGTGTTGTTAGTTACTTCTAAAAAATTCATCAGATCAAGAACCAGTAAGAACTTACTGTTTATTATAAACTTTTATTTAATTCCCTCATGGTGTTTATCACTATGGGCAAAATTTTGTCATCAGTTTTTAAACTACTTCCTGATAAGCTATAGAGGTCAGATTTAATTATAGCTGACAATACAGTATGGTAAGGTGATTTTTTTTTTTAATGTAATGATGAAATGATATTTTGCACGTATCTCCATTTTACAAACAAACTAAAAATCTCAGAATTTTGCAGTTTTTACTATTGGGTAGAGTGAGAAAAATATTTGAAATGAAATTTATAACATAATTTCTGATTTTTTGGTGATTTTTTAAAATTGCTCAATTTTTTTGTCTGTTGGACATCTTATGATTTTAAAATTTCAACATCTGAAAATGAATCTGCTGTAAAGTTTTGACATTTTCATAAATTATAAAATAAACTCGTAATACTCTTAAAATAAGAATGATAAAAATATGTTAGTCAGGCAGTTATTAACATTTTTTAAGAAACATTTGTTGTAGACATTTAAGCAGTAGAAATTGTATTGTGGCTTGTGATTCTTCTTTGATGTGTAACATAATTTGGTTAGAATTTTGAAATTACGATATTGTTATACTGTTTTTCTTGTTTTACTAATGATTTCTCTTGTACTGACTGATTTTGTTTAATTAATCTCTCTCTGATTGCTAGAAAGAATTACTTGGAAAGAAATTAGCTATTTAAATAAATGCGCTATTTCTTTTCTCTCTTTATTTATAGATACATAGAAAATATTAAATAGACTTTCTAGATTTTTTTGATGACAATATGATGGTGAAGTGATTTTTTTCAAAATTTGATTTAGATTTTTTAAAATTAATATTGAAACAATTATTTACAAATATCTTCATTTAAAGGACAAATTAAAAATCTGAGAATTTTACTTTTTGTACAAGAGCAGGAAAATAATCATTTAAACAAACTTTATATAATAATTCATAATCATAGCATAATTTCTGATTTTTTTAACAAAATCGCTGGGTGTCCCCAACTCCTTACCATCATAACAGAATTGTTCAAAGTAAAAAAAAAAAGAAAAAAAAAAAAAAAAAAAAAAAAGGAAAGAAAGAAACTATTGTGATTCTTCATTATAGAAAAATTAGTTTTTAGTTGAATAATTTGGTTGATTATGTGTCATTGAGCCTAAAAAGATTAATTATAAAATAGGCTTTTATTTCAAACTCATAAAATAATTAATGAACAAAAAGTAGAAAAAAAAAACCCGAAGTACTATGAAACATGAATAAAAAATATTATTAATAGTTTTAGTTTATTGGAAACAAGATAAATAAACCTTTTTACAAAATTCATCTACAATTTTATATCGCAAATAAAAGCATGAGTGCCAAATAATGAATTCTAATAATTGAACTGCATTGTCAAGTATATAAGCCATTACTAATTTTATAAACTTATCTGAGGCTTTTCATATATTCATTATTTGTGCTATAAAATTGTATATGAATTTTGTAAAGATAATTATTTAATCTCTTGTTCCCAATAAGCCTTATGATAAATCATTTTTCTACTTTTAGTAGAAACTACTATGTTTATAAGTTTTAAATAAAAAAACTTTTTTTTAATTTATAAAAACTTTTATAATTTTATTTGAATTAAATTCTTGATAGGACACTGTTTTAAGGGTATACGTATTTAAGGTAGATGGAACCAGAATTTAGGATTGATGTCTGCCACTTTTTGCTGGCATGCACATATTGTGCACTGTTTGATGCATACTATTACGAATTTTGTATATATGTATATAATTTTAGTGAAATTATGTATAAATTGTATCTCTTTTATAATATAACATTAAAGGCCTCAGGAAAGCAAAGCTTTGCCTGAAAAATAAGGTTACAGGTACATACCCATTTAACATTTAGTAGAATTAGTAGAATTTAGTGAGTGGCTATCTTACCAGGCAAGATAGTGCCAAGCTGGCAATTATTTGGCAGAAAGCAGAATATTTAAAGGAATTTTCACGGTCTAGATTGCATTCAGAAGTTATTAAACTTCTGATACAACAGAATGAATTGTCTGTGTGTTTTTAGTAACTTTTTTTAACTATAAAATTAATTATATTTAAAGAGAAAATTTGTAACATTTCTTTCTTTCCTCAATTTTTGTATCCAAATTTAGAAGCAATTTTTTTTCCAGGGTTGAATTTCAAAGCAAGTTCTATTCTGGAATGGGCAGCATGTTCATTCCTTTCTCATTTGATACCATACTGGAAGTGGCTGGAATAGATGATTAGACTTTACATTATTATATGAAATAATATCTGTGCTGTGTTAGATCTGTACAACATGTAAATTTCAGTTTACATGTGCATTTGTTTTCTGTTACTATGAGCTTATGGTTAAAGTCACAAACTGTGTATATTCAAGCCATAATGATAGATATCCTGAGTTATAAAAACCAATTTTTACTTTTTTTTATCCACATTGTTGTTATTAAGATCTGCTGCTAGCTTTGCAAGAATGTTGTTCTATATTTAGATTGCAAATCTGTTCTACAAATTGGAAATGTTAAATTTTTTAAATTTATTATTGAGCTAGTCTTGGTATTTTAAAACAAATGTAAATTAATCATTATCAGTAGGGAAATGTAAGGATTATTTTCACAAAGAAAAGTGCAATTTTTTTTTTAACAATTATAATAAAATTTCTGTTACCAAATGATCTGCTTGCCATCATGTGTTCATTGACATTCAATGAAAAATGTTGTATTATTTTCAAAATACTCTTGTATATTTATTTATTTATTGTTTATAGTATATTTTATATTTATATATTTATATTGAGAAAGTGTGTTTACAGCCTTTTACAACACTGAACTGATAAAATAGCTTTGTTTCATGTTTGTAGTTTTATGACATATTTTATTGTGTTTGGATGTATAGTAAATTAAAAAAAATATAGATATATGATTGCTTGTAACTGTCTTGCTTATAATTTTGCAAGGCCGAGTCTCTTCTGAACTATGTAGTATGGATGGATGGATTATTAATTGCCAAAAATTATTGATGTGGAATGTTTGAATGTTAGAATGCTTAGGAATACACAAATTAATTTCTTGTGATACATCATTAGTAAATTTCACTACTGATTAAGTACTTTTTTAATTTAAAAGGGTGATTTGTAATAATAAACTCTTAAAAATAAAAAAAAATTAAACAGTATATAAAAATATTTTGCTGACCTTTTTTATTGATGCTAAATTCTTTTTTTAATAAATTAAAAGCTTTTCTGACCATTCATTACTTTCACCCATTTATGTGTTCTGTATGTTATATTCATTTGTTGCTAATTAATGAGATAATTACATCACCATAAAACTTGTTCTGTGTTCTAAATATTTAACAGCATAAAATGTAAATGCAATATCTTGAGTGTTTTATTATTTCATGCATTTAATTTGAACATGCTCATGAATACATATTTTGTTATGTTGCTGCAAAATATATGTGTATATTGTACAAATGTAGCATTTAATTGTTTACACTAACAATAAATAGCATTATGTGAAACCTTTTTGTTTGTTGAAGTTAGAATTATTGAATAATTGTAGAAAGTATTATAAAAGAAAAAGCCTCTTATAGTTGAGTCTAGTGATGCCCTATATATCTAAGTGCTTTATCATGCTTCTTTGAAAATTAGATAATCAAGCATTTAATGAATGATTTACCTATGCACAAACAAATTATTTATCTCTGCATTATGGTCTGTTTCTAATCAAAAATTTATATATGGCATTTTGTCATGCAGTGTATTTTCACTGGTTATATTCGGGTCCAGTTAAAGTAATATCAGTGCTCATGCAAGCTGGAATACAGGAGTCCCATTTAAAATTGTTTCCCATACCATATTTAGCCGATTGCATAATTGATTACCAAGTTTTCAAAATTATGTAGTTTTCCATAGCCTAATAGAATGCGTGTGTAGTGAAAAAACTATTGTGACACTTTCTTCTTCTAAACTGCACTCCTGGCTTCAAAAGAAAATTGCTTTTTTTATTTTCTACATTTGGTATCGCTAAATTGAACAACACTCCCTAAAGATGTAACTAATCCATTTGCTTTTTTTTCTCTTTTTTAAACTTTTTTTTAAATTTATTTAAAAGAAGTCTTCAATAACAGCCTTGCATTTGTAAGTTTCATTATGGTGTCTAATTGCAAGCCTTTTTATTGAATTGCTTTATTAACTCCATTGGCACAAATAAGAATAATGATTAAATCAAGGGTTCTTAAACTGAGGGTTACGGGACCTGCAGCAAGGGGTTGCCACAAAATTTAGCAGTTTTGATATTCCTTTAACTTATTATAATAATTTTACAATTACCAAACATTTTTACACAATGTATCTGAAAATAGATAAAGATTAAGACAATACAGACAGAAAAAAATGAAAACGTTTCGATGCATTCTTTTTATAATATAAACGTTCATTTTCCTTGCTTTGCACGTGCCGCTGTCGTTTCGTCTGTTACTTATTTAAAATTTTCACATTGTTATATATCTTAAAATTAGAAATTAAAGTTAATGACCTGAAATTGCAATAGTATATTACAGTACAAATGAAAAAATTAACAGCTTCACTCCCATGTGTGTCGGATTTATGCAATACTTATGGGGTTCTGTGGGTCGCAAAGAAATCTCGGTGATAAAAGGGGTTGCAACTGAAAAAATGTTTAAGAAACCTTGATATAAATAACAATAAGATATAAATAAAGTTAAATTACTGTAATTTCTTTTAACAAACTAGATGTTCCACTGAAACTAATGAGACTTCTTTTAAAATTCTCTTTGAGTCTTCTAAGGCTGCTATTGGTTTGTTTCGGAAGAACAACTGTTTGGAACAATTTTTCTGCTTTGTTACAATAGCCAATCACCATAGATTGCTTTAGGGTTAACAAGGGGGGAAACTGGTTCCCCATTACAAATAAGCTGATAGGTTGAAAACGAACAGCATGCAATTTTTTTGGAAAGGAAGGGAAGTTGCACGTCTTTCTTTCAATAGTAAACCAGGCAGAAAAATTGTCCGAAACAGTTGTTCGTGTGAAACAAACGCCATGTGATGTGGGCCTAAGATGTATATTGCATTCTTAAGGTTGTATTTAATAGATTTAATATTTTCATTTCTCAAAGAGGCTTTTAAAATACCTGTGAACTGGAAGTTCTCTCAAGAGGTTTGGTAGTAGGAAAAGAGGGGTGGGTGTCACTCGGATTCGTTACTGAGTTGTTCTCCACCAAAACAGGCAGGAAGTTTCCCGACTTCTCATGGATGTAGTGCACCATAGGTAGCATTCTCGGTGATAAGATAGCTAAATAATTGATGGTATTAGCCTTTCCCAATGAATGTGTCGAGTTGTAAATGCCTGTCGATTTGAAACCACAACTTTCAGTTTTCATTTACCAAATAGTTTTACAAAGATTTAACTGCATTATTAATCACATAATTCATGTAAAATGTAAATGTAATGCATTCATGTGTTTTTAATTTTTTTTTAAATACATACATGTATTCACCTTTTTCTTAACCTTTCATGTTTTCATTACTGAATAACTACCCATGGCAATCTTCAAGACAGCCCAAGGTCAGTTAATATATAAAATAATAATTCAATGAACTTTTTTCTAATACAGTCAAAAATCGTTAATCCGGACTTGTCAGGACTTCGGCGATCCCGGATTATAGATCAGTTTAAATCTGGTAAGATGGCATGCAGAAATTATAAAATTAAAAATATGAAACCGTAATTTATGAAATAAAGAACAATTAGCAATAATGATCTAAAGGGTATCAAAATTTACAAAAAAAAAAAGCTTAATATTTATTTGTTTACTTTATTAAACATTTCTTTCAATTTAAGTTGTTTAAGTTGCTTCGTTTTATGTGATACTTTCTCTTTAATTCTATAAACAGACATAATTTCTTGTTCAGTTACAAAGTTCCGCTGTTGAAGTCCTATAATTGCTGTGTAGAGAATACCGACTAATTTGTCAATCGAAATTTTTTTGTTTTCAATAACCTTTGTATCAATTTCTTCACTATAGGAAGCGAATTATAATGACGAGGAATTTGATTTAAATCATATCAAAGACGGAGTACATCGAGATGAAATACTACATTAATAACGAATTAGAAGCCAAATAAAATAAAAACATCTGCTCTGAAGATAAGGCTAGTGCTGACAGATCAACTTCCAATTCATTGCGTGCAGCGGCGTCCCCCCCCCTGCAGCAGAGCGGTGTGAAATTGATAAACAGATTTCGGAATGGTTAGATAAACAAAGGATTATGCCTTTATCCATTTTTTGCAGCAATTCCACTTTTTGTTTAATGGACTTCGAAACATACTTTCGCTTTGTAGATCCTTTACATATTAGTAAATATATATCGAAAATTCTATTTCACATAATCAAAAGTTCAAGCTTACTTTTATAAAATTGCTCTAACAGACTGCAAAAAATAATAAGCCGGATCCAATTCGAAGATTAAGGAACAACGCAATCTGCAACATTAACTGAATTAGATAATTTTTAGCTTATACCGTCCATTATACATTAAACGTGCATGCGTAAACGTATTATGCACATGCGCACACGCATATTCGCAGCCGTAAAGGTCTTACGCGCATGCGTCGATGCGACGCGTGCGCAGAAAGTTTGTAGCTTTGAGGTCCGGATTATGGGTGTCGTAATTTAACGACTTTTGACTGTATGTGTTATATCTCCAGTTTCAAAATATCGAAATAAATGGTAAGTAATTTAAAATACTGATTACCACTGTTAGAAACACATTCAGCTTTTATTTGCGACTTAAGCCTAATGCGCATTATAGAATAACTGAATAATATCCGGTTTTAACAGAAGTTTTCTGCTACCGCAAATATCATCTGTGCAAACAGTTCACGTTGGCCTGTTTAATTATATTTTGTCAAATGATTTTTGGCATTTGAAAGAAAAAGACGTCTTTAAGAATACTGTAAAAAAAATATCCATATCATTAAGTACAAGGTGTCTGAAATCAAACTTTCACGTTACTAGATTAGAACCATCATTTACTTCCAGTTATGTTGCAAAAAGTCTACAGAATATCACTAAATCATGTATACAGCTTTAGGTACTAATGTTGCATTATATGACACTGTGAAGTTTTGGTACTGAAAGTTCAGAAACAAGGACTGATATTCAGCAACCAGAGCACTCTGTTTGGCCTGCTGATGTTGAAGAGGCCCGCCTGCATGAACTTGTCGAAGAAGATCGGTATGCAACCACTCAAGAGCTTGCTAAGGAGTTAGACGTTAGGGCCATGTCCATTAGTCATGCTGTGCATCGTATAAACTTGAAGTACAAATTTAATTGCTGGGTGCCGCATGGACTGACTCGAGCAGATAAGGATAGACATGTTCGGGCCAGCACTGATCTGCTCGAATATCAATGCAAGGACAGAATTCTAGACCAGATCATCACTTGTGATGTAAAGTGGATTTACTTCAACAACACTTCAATAAAGCTGAAAAGAAAGGGTCTGCCTCCATTGAGCCCTTTGGCAGAGTTGCAAAGCACAATTTGACTAATAAAAAGATCATGCTTCGTGTCTGGTGGGATTATCGTGGTATTATCCACAAAGAGTATCTGGAAAAAGGTAATGTTCCATCAAGATAATGCAAGACCACATGTGTCTGCATTCATCGGTTGGACTCTGTACGGACTCGAATGGGATCTCTTGCCACACACACCGTATAGCCTTGAAATCGCTCTTTCGGACTTCTAACTTTTTTCATACCTGCAACTACATCTTGCTGGTGCTATCTTCCATTCTGCACAGAACATCCAAAATGAGGTTGATCTGTTACTACCTGCACTAAAAGTACTGCTTTTATGTTTTTTTTCTAACTTTATTAAGAACATTTTTTGGAGGAAAACTTTAGTTACAACCAGATACTTATTTCTAACATTATAGAGTTAGGTGTCTGCCGGAAACATCATACGGAGAAAACAATGAAAGGCGAAAACATCCTGGTACATAACATTGTGGGTGAAGAAAAAGCAAAAAAGAAAAATCACAGTTCTAAAATATCGTGGTGCAAAATGTCATCGAAAATAAAGCGGTTTAATAACTAACGGTTTAAAAACATCACCACCGAAAATATCGTGCTAAAACATAAAGCTACAAATCATCGCATGACGATAACATAGCAGACAATGCCTACAGGCTTTAAAAGTAGTAAAGGCATATTTGCATAATGATTTGTGAGTGCAAGAAGGAAAGAGGAATATATTTTTATAATTCATAAGTTTGAATTAATTAGTATATTTTTGCTGAAAAAGTGAGGAGATCTGAGCATTTAAAAACTGAAATTGAAAAGAAAATGTAACTTATAGCACTTATTAGAAGTTTTAATCTTAAATACTTAACTAATAAAAGTCGTAAATAAATTAATCTTTTCTTATAAAGTTTTACTGATAATTTTTCGTGAAAAACGGTTAAGAAAGAGGAAGATCTGTATGAGATTACCTCTTTAAAAATTGTTTAATTAATTGTCAATTTATTTTCTTTCACGTTTGTTAATCTGATATTCTTTTACTGAAAATTATATGTTTTGGTTCTGTTTATTCTTAAAGGGCCATTAACATTTTGATGTACAGCTGCAGTCAATTATTTGGTTGTCAGTTTGTTAGTTATGATGAAAGTCAATTACATATTTCAACACTAGACTAAGGCACTTCCTGTGTGCTGACTACCTTCACAGGCACCATGTATAACTGACAAAATTAAGCTGTCATTGTTTTGTAAGCAACATGATACCTAATTATTCATGGTCATTTACCATGATGTAGAGAATGACTGCATAAAACAGGTGATATCAGAATGCCTTAGTACACCACATTAAAAAATTCATAATCTATAAACCAGAGCGCCTGGAACAAATTAGCTGTCATGTAAAACTACTTTTTCTGACGAGACAGTGCTAACCAATAATTCTGCTTTTCAAGAAATTCAAATCATAATTTTAGATTTATTACAATTTTTAAATACATATGAACAATTCTGAAACACAACTGTGCTATTTCAATTGAGAAGATGGCAGAGGATTTAAAATACTGTCAAGCTAAAGTCCTCTTGAGACATTGGTGGTAGGAAAAAAAACATAGGAGACATTCAAGTTAGTCTCCACGGGTATTTTCCTTCAAAACTGGGATACAACTCATATGTACCCAAGGTTTAAGCTGATAACAGGTGCGCATATGCTTCTTGGCCACTATAAAATCCATGGACTTGATCTGGCAATAGTTTCAAAATAGGATTAATAACAATACAACTAACCTGTTCATAAATGTGAATGATGTTTAAAATCCAAATATAGTACAATGCTATCTTTTAAATTACGAGAATGGAGCTTACGCCTCGTGCTTCTCCATAACTGATTGCTTTCGTCTGTTTGATTATTGCAAGGCACATGAGACCTACCTGCTTAAGGGGGGATGCCTTTGTGGAGGACATCCTAAGGGGAATTGGTTTGTATCCACAATACAAAGGCAAAACCACAAAAGTGCCCATGCAACAAACCTGTTCACTTAAAAAAAACTAGCAGAATTCAATGACTTTACTGCTCAGCTGCTAGTGGGATTTGCCATAACTGAATTCCAATTTAATCCTGTTTTTTCAAATGAAATCACATTAAACTTTGCCATATGTGAAGAAAAACATTTAGATGAGATAATCTGTTTTGTGTTAACATAATCATTAGATTGTTTATGTAAAAGATTGGTATAATTAGTAATTAATATTTCAGAATATTACTGTTTTCTTGATGAGAAACTTTTATCGACAAGTTGAACACCTTTTGAAGTACAAGAAATTAAGATTATCTTTGTAAATAAACAGCATTTCATCCCAAGTAACTGAAATAAATTTATTTTCTCGGGATGAAAAAAATAATAAATAATTTTAAGTAATGGTAATAATGGTTCAGAAATAAATAGTTTCAGTACTTTGGACGGGGTTCTTATGTAAAAATATTCATAAAATTGTATGTTTATGGGAAAATTTTTGCAAAAATGCAAATAGCATAGCAAGTATAAGCGGTGAATATGTACTGAAAAAGTAATGAATGAACTACATATAAATAATCATTTTCTATTTTATTCAAAATTTTCAAATTTAAATATGACATAGCACAAGCACAACTTTTAATTCATATACTTTTTAACCTTTCAACTGAAGTGTTTCAATATCAAAATAATAATAATAAAATAAATACTGAAATCATACAAACAAAAATGTGCAAGTTAAAAATTCTTTAAAATGACTATATAAAAACATTAAACTAAGATTTATAACCCAAATAAAATGTACTTTTTTAATATAA